GACCGTCGCCATTTCTGGCAAGACCGGAACAAAGAAAGGAGACTAAGGCCCCACTCAGGGCGGGGCAAAGGCTTTGGGGGCAGCGCACCTGCAAACTCTACCACCGAGATGAACGTGTTGCGCACTACACATCTGGGGCACTCTCGCTCGACACCGCCGTGCGCGGCCGGCGGCATATGGATGCTGCTCCACCTCTGCAATTGACGTGAGAGCAGCGACGCCTTCGACTTTGAAAGGAGGCACTGCTGCAAGCTCCGCCTGTGGTTGCTCTCAGTTCTTGTCTGAACCAATCTTGCGGACAGGTCTCCCAGCAAAAGGCATCGACAAAAGTAACCGACTTACTTGGATCGAGTATACAACGGTCTCCCAGCATGTTGGAGCCATCTGCAGCTGACGGAATGTCGCGTGGAACTGCATGAATGGCTGCAACGCAAGAAAGGGATTCTTGCGAATGCTGCCTGACCGACCTTCATCTGCGTCCTGCTTTTTGGCATTCCAACATCAAGCTTTGCAGCTTTGTCTACCCTTCCCATTGGATGCCGGACGTCCCGTACTGAGACAGGAGGGGGATGTTTTAGGCCGTTTCAAGCATCCACCAATCACTGCGAATCTACACCAAACAAGACATTGGTTGCCCTTGCCCTGACAGTCAAGATGCCAAGAGATTGACAGCGTATTTAGCGCAAGGAACTCGCCAGGCCTGCAGCTGCGAATTCGTTGATTTGAGAACAGTCACAACCGTCACAGCTCTCTCTTTTGGCAGGATCAACTTTGATAGGCAGCAAGCCTCTATGAAAAACGCAAATTCATTCAAATTTTCGAGCTGAAAATTATCGTGCCTTCGAGATTCTTTGCATTTGCGCCTGGTAAATTGAGCAACAGGAACCTAGAAGTCTAGCGAAGGCTCCAACACCCGGTCGAACATCCAAGTTTCTTGCGCGTTGATCCATACATAGACACAATTCTACTCTTGAAGCGCGTGGACGCTTGCTGGCATCGGAATCGCGTGGTCTAAGCCTTCTGCGGTACATAAGCAGAGGGTCCCGGCCTTGCTTTGCTCACCTTGAAAGATCCTTTTTGAAGCCTCTTTATCTCCCCGTTCTCACTTACATCAGGTCACCCAAAAGGACACGCATCGACACGCCAACTTCCAGGTCAATTCCGATCTGCTTGGGTCAACACAAGCCACTATTGGGTCATGCCGAGTCATGCCCGGTGGCCTCCCGCGACAGACACCCAGACCTGCCAAGCTCCTACATCAGGTCATGTCATCTTTCACCGTTTTCAGCTGTTAGGCGTTGAAGTGGATGCTGGAATCAGCCGGGGCACGGGGGGGCGTTTGCGCAGCCTACGTCCGCGCAGCTCCGCAACGATGGACCGGCATCAACGTGCCGAACATGTCGGGCAAAGGAAAGATGGTTGCATCATGCGATTTCCGCCTTAAACCAATACTAGCTTAGCTGTATGGGTTCTGTTACCTCAGACATAGGAGGGCATGGCCAGGTCCTAGGGTCTTCGCCGGCTGAGTGCAAAAGCTGTGGAATCGCTCCCACTGTCTAGCAATCCTGTTCCTTGGGACGAGCACTGGGAAATCGACATCCAATGGCAGAACAGAAACACAGTGTAGACGTTTGGCACAGCCTGCGCGTGAATTTTTTGGGAATGACGGCTGTGCAGTCAATGCTTGTCAGTCATGTGCGAGTCACAATGCCCTTCGCAATTGAAGCAGGCGAAGGAGGAGGAAGAATTTCAGTGAATTTCAGTGCTGGTCGATGGTGAGGCTGGGCACCAGCACAAACAAGTCGTAAAGGTCGCAGCAATCATTCACAGAAGTGTCTGTTTCACATCCCGTCATGCCATGCAGCAGCAAAACTGACAAGCACGCTTGCACCGAATGCCAAGAACGGAACATGGGTTTGTACAGGAGGTTGCCTTGAGAGCCGACCACATGCATGACACTTACCGCCGCGCATGGCCGTGTGTGAATGGACACCCTGACCAATTCATCCACAGATGGGCAAATAGAGTGCTCTTAAGATGAGGGCTATGGGGCCAAGCACGCACAAGCCCTGAATGTCTCTGTCATGCAAGAGTCTGTTTCGAATGCCTTCACGCCGTGCAGCAGCAGAATTGACGGCCATGCCTGCACACTGCCTGCGCCAAATACCAGGAACGGAACATGGGTCTGTACAGGCGGTTGATGTTGTTGATATGAGAGTGGACGACGTGCACGCAAGTATCGCCATGCTTTTGAGATCTTTTGAGAAGCAGGTCCCCGGCTGCATCCACAGACTGGCTTGAGTGCTCTTGCCTCAGCTCACACAGCGGATGACCTGCCGAAGGACTGCGATGGTGGCGATGAGACCAAGCACGTACGAGTCGCGAACGTTTCTGCAATCACTCCCTCTAGAGGTTCTGTAAACGCCGATGCTGCGGCAAAGTGCAGATGGCTTTTCCGTACTCACATGCCGGCAGCAATGCAACTCAGCGATCTGGTCACCTGCGGCACTAGCGCACAGTCTCAGCTCAAGCTGCCCAACAACCAGCGTCAAGTCGCTGCGGACACAAACGCGCAACAACTTCTGGTCCTGGACTCTGGTCCTGCAGTTCTACAGGCTGTGTACCACATGGCTTTGCCCCACACCTGGACACGAGAATGTTTGTCACCAACCCGAATGAAATTCTGCACATCATGTCAGAGTGGACGGGCTCCACATCCTCGGCCAGTAGACGTTGCAGGGGATGGGGATATGGGTAGCATCCGGCAACAAGACCAAACTGATACCTTTTCCTACCTCACGACAGAACGACTAGAAGCTCTAGCAGAGCGCGGCTCCTGCATGACAGCGCCTATACCTGGGCCCTTGCCTTTGCAAGCCGTTTTCGCCATATCCTCATGCCTGCTCAGACTACCCATGGCATTTCCTCGACCTCAACGATTTATTCTGACCGAAACACAAAGCAAAACTCCAAACCCACGGAAACACTCCTCAGCCACCTGCGTCAAGTGGCTTTCATCTTTAACCTTTTGTAAGCTGAAGTTTATTAGCATTCGTGTGGGAGTGGCCTTCTGACCCAAACTTCGTTTTGTGTAGGGAGGTGTTTGGGTCTGAAGGATCCCTACAGGTCAGAAGGTTTTGAGGGCAGCCCGGCGCCGTGTTACGAGCGTTACAAATCAAGTATAACTTAGAGCTAAGCCCGAAACCCTAAACCCTAAACCCTAAACCCTGTACGAGTTCTGTCAGCTTCGCATCTCCGAGGCGTTTTCGACTATGAGACCCCCCTCTTCCTTCAATCCAAAATCCCGAAGAGCCTGCGGAACCTCCAAAACTAGGCTGACGTGCCCATGCAAAAACACGCTGTGCGATAAACCCTAAACCCTCAACCCTCAACCCTAAATCTGATCGCCAACAAAACAGAAAAGCACAGCTGCAGCCGAGAAACTGCGCAAACTGCCATTGTCAAAACGGCCGAAAATGTTGTGCTCCGCGGCTGCTGCTAGTTTGTCGGTTCGTGGTTCTACAACAACACTACTTATGCAACAGCAAAGCATGAACGCAAGATCACCAATACTATTCGGTAAATACAACTTATGGGATCAATAGTGCTTATTGTCATGAATTTCAGATGAACATAGCATAGTGTCCTTGGAACACCACATTGCTGTACACGATGTATGAACACTATGTCCAATTTGAAAACGGCTCCAGTTTCGCCTTGAATTCAACTTCAAAACACTCAAAATTGAAGATTCGAAGGCGTGAAGCTTCCGGCACGAAACGTGGCTGTCATCGCTTAAGCCGAGTTCGTATTAGCCAAAACCATAAATCTTCAGAAAGAAGCACTTTGTTGCACGCTCCAGATTATGGAGCCACGATTGCGTTACCAGCAAAGGTTTTTCTGCAGGCTATGGAGCCATAACCCTAAAGGCTTTTCGTCGAATAGCTCGCGCATGCTCGCGCCAATGGCCAAATACGCGCCCGATTGCTTGTATAGGATGTAAAGAGTGGAGTCCGGGGCGTCCCGTTGAAACTCATGTTAAATTCTATAGCTGAAACGGGATGCGCTCCACGAGCTCGGGCTTTGGTAATTAATGTTTTCCAGCTGCAACGTGGCGTCCCGGGCTTTTTTTGGCGCGATAGGGCCGATAGGGGTCTTCCCACAAAGGGATAAACATCTCAGTTTACTTAGTACCATCTTTGAGTTGAGGGGAATGACCGAAACATCTGAGTAGCGTTCCAACGCGTGGAATAGGGTCGGCCCCCTATCGGCTATGCAGGAATTATCTATGGGAGCTGGGTATCGGTTAAGGGTCGGCCCGTATCGGCTCTCGTGCTAGAGCAGACTTGTAAATTCCATATGACTCCTCTAATCATGGCCCATGGCTACCTCTTCCAGAGGTTTTGTCCGATGCACAGGTTTCTGGGCAGGCGATGGAGCCACAATCCTACAGGGTTTTACCTTTTTAGGAAGAATCTTGAGCTGTGGGCAGGTTATGCATACCAGCACACGTTTTCGGGCAGGCTATGGAGCCACAATCCTGAAGGGTTTAGCCTTTTAAAGGGTTCTACCGTTTAGAAAGAATTTTGAGTTGTGGGCAGGTTTTGGAGCCACGATTCCGTTACCAGCACAGGCGTTTGGGCAGGCTATGGAGCCCTAACCAAAGAGCTCGCGCCAGATTGCTTGTTCGGGATGCAAGAGTGGAGTCCGGGGCATCCCGTCTCAAACTACGTAATGTTTTTTAAGCAGCTGAAACGGGACGCCCCGGGCGAAGTCCTTATCTTCGCGGGGCCACACGGACTGGCAACTGGCTCCATGCTCCCCAACAGGACCTGCGGGACGCTGCTTTTCTCCCTTAAGGCAAGTCTGGGTTCCGAAAAAAAAACGGCAAATTGCGCATTGCACACACACAGACACGCACCACGGATGCGGGATTCTGCTACACAGGCCCTCTGGCCCTCTTCACTCTTGGCACTTCACCCCATGGTCACGATGCTCCGTCAGGTTGTCCGCTGCAAGGTCTTGGCCACATCGAAGTGGCCGTTGGCTAAGGCGAACGTGAGGGCTCTGACTGTTGCACCATGCTCATTTCGGACCTCCAGCTGGGCCCGGGCCTTCACCAAAGCCTGGACCACTTTCAACTGGCCCGCTTTCGCAGCATGTATAAGGGCTGTTTCGCCAATCCGATTGCGGGGCTCCAGCTGGGTGCCGGCCCTTAGCAAGGCTTCGACCACTTCAACCTGGCCAGCGGCCGCAGCGACAAGGAAGGCAGTGGCGCCTTGCTCATTGCGGGCCTCCAGCTGGGCCCCAGCCTTCACCAATGCCTCGACCACTTCTAGGGCGCCCGCTTGTGCAGCACTTATGAGGGCTGTGTGGCCGAACCGGTTGTGGACCTCCAGTTGGGCTCCGGAATCCAGCAAGGGCTGAATCAGCTCCAGGTGTCCTTCGGCTGCAGCGCACAGAAGGGCTGTGTTGCCGAGCCTGTCCGGAGCGTTCGGATCGGCGTTCTGGCGGAGGAGCTGCTCCAGGCGCAGTTGCCTCTGCGGGCTGTCGAGATCCTGATTTACAAGCTCCGCCTTCGAGGTTTGGTCTGGCAGGTCCACTAAAGTCACTAAACGTTCTTTCGCTTCCTCCAAGTCCATCATCTTCCCGAATTCTCGATGCTTGAACAGGGAGCGCTCCAGATGTTCAAGCACCAGCAAAGACTCTCTGGGGAGACGGGCCTCAGTGGAACCCGCGCGCTGGCAGTAAGGGCCCACGACCTGGCAGGGAACTTGTCCCATACTACTTAGATGCCAAAATACTTAGCCAACGTTATTTCCTAGATTTCCGTATGGTGAATATGTTATAGGATACTACCTTATAAAGGGTTGAGATCGCCCCTAAACCCTATAAACCCTATACGTTCCAAACATTCAGCGGGCTCTCCCCCCTCCCCCTCCCCCCCCTTCAGGTAAACCCCAAGCCCTAAGCCCTAAACCCTAAACCCTAAACCCTAAGCCCTAAACCCTAAACCTACCCACCTCCCGGAGCTCCCGGTCCTTCCGGTCCTGCTCCACTTTGGCCTCACGGAACACACAGAAATATGATTCGCAAAAGACCGAGTCGTTAAGGGCTTCTTCTTAAAGGGTTCCCCTTGAAAGGGATTCGAATAGGGTTCTGGGATACACGATGGTATCATCATTTAGGACTCTATCATCTTAGTTCCATTATTCCACTACCGCACGAAACAACTCCGCGGCTTGTCTCGTAAGAGGGGGCCTTCAGCAGCTCCTGCACGTGCTCTGCCAAGGCCTCGTCCAGGTTGCAAGCGCCGGAGCAGTCGATGCAGCGCCACCGGAGCCTGGACCTCATCGCGAAGGCTTCGGGGCTCCAGTTCGTCATTGAGTTGGCCCAGGAGGGCAGCCGGGCGAAGAGCCGCTTCTGCAGCGCCGGGCCCGTCTGGTCGCAGGTGCCCATCAGGTCCACAACAATCATTTCCGGAGACCAGAAACCCAGCCCCCAGGCAGCGAGCCCCACTGTTGGGATCTCATGGGTGGACAGCACGGACTGCGACAAGTTACGCTCCCCCGTGATCTGCTTGTTGACCAGCGCGATGACCGTTCCCTGTGCCCTTTCGCGCATCCCGAGCACGAAGCTCATGCTTGCGATGGACCACATGTTTGCTGCCAGCGCACTGGTCTGGAAATCCTCGTAGCAGGCGTCGAGGTTCTCGCTCGCCTCGATGACTTGGCCCAAGAAGCTGTCGGGGTGGACGGTGGCGTGCTCTGTGGCCTTGGCAAAGTTGAAGAGCTTCGTCTTGGTCGTGCGATTCTGCGGGTCCCCATCCCAGAACCCTGCCCAAAGCAGCGCATGATGACGAGTCTCGGTCAGCTTCACTAGCCAGCTCCTCAGAAAGGAGAGTGCTTGGTATCGACGGAGTGTCGTGTTGTCCACGTCGAGAGAGGCTACGGCATCTCTAGAAACGCGAAGCGTCTCCACGAGTTCATTTCCCAACGCGAAGATGTCGCTGACGCTCTCCGCACAGGTCTTGTTCGGGAGGACGTAGGAGTCCGGAAGGTAAGCGAGAAGCCAGTCGGCTTTCGGCTGCAAGCTCTCACAAGCAAGGGTGAGATTGCTCATCACCCGCCCCAGCTGCTGATGGCAAACATTGGCACTGGTGGCACTGGCGCTTTGCCAGTCCTCCCTGATGCGGGCCACCCGCTCCCTGAGCGTCTCCTCCGGTGCCTTCGCATCGCTGCTCGCCTTGGAAGTGTTGGCCGTGGTCCGAGGCCGGACTTCCATCAGCATGGCTTGCAGGCGCTCCTGAAGCTTCTCGGGCGAGCTCGCGGGGTGCTCATGCCACGAGGCCGGATGGCGCTCCGACCTGAGCCCTGCAACGTAGAGTGCTGCAGAGGCCGCGAGCGCCGTCGAGATCAGGCGCACCATCACGCCATGATTTATGGAAGAAACAGGATATGGAACTATGGATATACCAAGCAGTCAGTCGCTGGAGAGCCATGCACGCAACTCTGCGGGTCACACAGCATGTACCTTTGGGGACGCCCCTCTCCGCCAAGATGCTTCTAGCAGACACCAGTCGCCTTTACAACGCAACGCTTCTTCACCGTAAACCCTAAACCGGAGATCCACGTTCCGGATTGCTGAGGTGCTGAAACGATCTCCACACCTCACTGGAAGGAGGGGCTCAGAGTTGCGGATAAACTCCGTCATATTATATTTCAAAGGATTTGCAGTGGGTTTTTGGATTTTCGGCTACGTGCTTCGACACACTGAACTGATTAGAGTCAGAGCCGGCCACCCCAAGCCGAAAGCCCCACTGTAAAAGGGTGCTTCGTGGGGCAAAGTTCCAATCACCATGCGTTGCTTGCTAGTGTTTCAGCCGAAGGTTGCCAATTTGGGATCTACAGTTTGATGGTAGATATGAACAGGGTTACGGGTCTGAGGACATGCTGTGTGTGCGCATCTGTGCCGCCAAAAAATCGACAAGGCCTTGTGTACATTCAGACTGCACACAGCTTGAACCTTTGTGGTTCGGCGCAGTCTTCTTCTTTGTCTCCCCATAGAGTTTTGGTCAGGGTTTGGGTCTGGGGTGACGGTTTTGATGTTGTGTCTACGGACTTGGCTTACGGGATATATTTGTGGGGGGGGGGGGGGTCTACATCATCAGCATACAACATTATGTATTCCTACTTGCCCCCCCAAACAGGGGGGCATCGTTTAGAGAACTGACCATGAATCTGCCCTGCGAGATTGAGAAAGCTGAGGGGTTTGAGGCCTGAAAGGGAACAACCACAAGTTTCGCAAAGGGTTCTAAGGGCTTTCAGGTTTAAGAGTCGGTCTTGGGGGCCTCCTTGTAAACCCTAAACCGTAAACCCTAAACCCTAAACCCTAAACCCTAAACCCTTAGGAAAGCCGGGACCTGTTGAGGCTTGCAGCTGTTGGGCTTGTCTTGTTGAAGTCGCTGTTATACTCTGGATGGGACGAGGTTTACAAGACTGTACCGCTCCATGGAGCTGGGCTTGGGGTTTAGGGTTTAGGGTTTAGGGTTTAGGGTTTAGGGTTTAGGGTTTAGGGTTTAGGATGGGTTTAGGGTTTAGGGTCTATAGGGTCTAGGGTCTTTTTGCCTTCGGCCGAGTCAATCGGTGGGTCTTGCCAGCCCCAGGACTTAGGGCGACCATCGTGCAGCAAGGCTGCGCATGATGCGCAAGGCAAGTCCGAACTTTGAGTCCAAACATGCTGCGCAAGAAAATGTCCAGAAAAGATCCGGATAATTTTAAGAAAAGTCGTGCAAGCATCGTTCACTGGGAAGGCTTGTTCCGAAGACTTCCGAAAGGGCCTATAGCATGTACCATGCAGCACTCGTTGAATCTAGTACGTGTCCCAGCCAGCACAGTGAGCTCAGCTTGCCGAGCAGCGAAAATGGGTCACGAAACCCCCGGAGTACGAGGAAGCATTCTCTACAGGGGTTTCGGACCCTGGGGGTCCAGAGTGCCCAACCTCTCAGAATGTCAAACTAGGAGCTGTAACCCTATTGACTCTAAGCCCTAAACACGGACTTGATTGCATACATCCTTTGGCCTTTCGGACCCCAATGTCATGAGGCATAAAGGAAACCTGCCCCATGATGACAAAACTGTAGTTTCTGAAGTGCTATACACGGACACGATCGGCTTCTCAACCCCACAGCACGAGGTGCCTTGAACTTGAGAGAACGGATGAGACAGATCCAGCTTGTTATAATAAGATCCTATGATGAGGGACAGCTTAAGCTGCTGCAATGTGCCCCCGATTCTCTCAGACAAAGCTCCACCATTTCTTGGGCACGCCTGAAACATGATGATCTGCTATTTCTTCTTGGGTTTAGGTTTATGGTATAGTCATAAAACCAAGGGGGAAAAATGATTTCCAGCAATGGCCCCTCCGAAAAAAGAGGGCCCTGAAGCCTACGGGAAAATGAGAGCCCCTGAAGCCTACGAAAGAGCCCAAAGCTCACGTTCAGCTCAGCTCAGTGGTGGCCGTCGTGGCCGTGGTGGCCGCCCTCCAAGGGCTCCGAGCCATGTGCGTGGCACTGCGCTCCGTGGGCCGAGCACGTGAAGACAACCTTGGTGTGGGGGGGGAATCCTCTCTGAACAAGGATCCCGAAATAAGGTCCTACCAAAACCCAACAAGGGGCAATAACAAAAACACGCACACACACACACACACACACACAGAGATACATATATATATATATATATATATAGGTATGCATATTAGAGTCAACACAAAGGTCAAAACTGGAACAGGAACCTCTCAGCGAATCTCAGCAACAGAGTGCCGCAGTGCGACTTGCACCTCCTGGTGCGGCCGCGCTGCGAAACACCGACATGGCTGCGCCATCCTGCGCCGCGGGGCGCCTGCGCCGTGAAACCACCGTTGCGCGTCGGATTGACACCTGTTATCTTCAGACCGCTGCGAGCGGACGAGGGTTCTTTCGCATCTCCGGCCGGTTCACGGTGCAAGTTCGCAGCTCTTGTGCCCCTCCTGTGTGGTACGAGACTGAATGGGGCTTGCTTCTTTCGGGCAGGGGCCCCCTTGTTTCGCCGGCCTTGGCAGGAGCGCTTGATTTTTTGTTTGGCTAAGCCGTGGCTGACCGTCTCACCGTCCGACCGTCTGTCTCTTGTGGCAACGGAAACCCTTGCAGCCAGGGCAACAGCACAAAAAAAACGGGGCCCTTGTCAAGACACCTTGCTCGTTGTTCCTCAGCCTTTCGTATCACAATGCCGGCACCTCGCGCAAAATGATTCAAGGCCTGCGTCGTTGTCCAGCGCCTGTGCTGTGCTTCTGAACTGCAGGCGAAGGACGACTATACTGACTATACATAGGCCTTCAAGGCTTGTGATTCCCCGGCATCGATCCGACCAAGCCAGGCCCTCGATCCCAAAAGTCATGCAGGGAGACGAAAGTTCAGCCGCAAAAGCCGCAACGTTGCGCGGATTTTGTGCGCTCCTCAAATCCACAAGAAGCGTGGCATTTTTTCACGACCCCGACGGCCCGGTGGCACATGTGGCCTTCTGCGGGTGATTGTGAAAACCCGCTCTTGAACCGTAAGTGCGCCAATCCGATGGGAGTCGTCATACTTTGTCATCCAAAACTCGTGCTTCCTTCCCTTGAAGACCCCTTGCATCCAAGAGAACACTCAAAATCGAACAAAACCTCCTTGAAGCCTCCTTTTGCTTCCGCTCAGGAGCAAAAAACTCCATCCCAATCTTCGAGATGCAATCGAGGATGCACAGCAGCGCCTCTGCGGGTCATGAAGTTCGGGTCATGAGACGGGTCGCTCTCTCAAAAGGTGGCGCTAGGGCTTAGCATCCCGGTCCCGAACTGCCCTCGTTACTTTGTGGCCCTTGCTTTGCCGACTCCTTTTGATGCGTCATGCGACACGTCGCTGAAGTCCTAACCCTAAATTGAACAGCATAAAGCCTCGAACACGAGAGCCCAACACCCTACCTTGAAAGCTAGTAGACTCTAGAACTCCGGGGCCTTCACATGCCAAGGTTGGAAACCCTGAACACCAGTGCCGCCGAGGTGCGTCTTCCATCCCTTTCGAGATCAAGCCGGCATGAGCCCGGCCTGACAGAGGCTTTTGGGGTTTTTAGGGTTGAGGGTTCCGTGGTTTCGGCTTTATAGGCTTTCAGGGGTCCAAGCAGAAAGTATATTCGATATAATGGCCTTTCCGAGTATCACGTGCGTACTGTCTGTGTTGTATTCAGCGCACCTAGAAGGACCACGATCGGATATCCCGTCCACGAGATCACTGTCAGCCTTGCTTTTGTAGCAAAAAACGGCAAGAGAAGTTGAACGCTGCTTTCTGAGGCCATATTACGGAGGACAAAAAAAGCCGAAGGTGGTTTTCCGTAGCGCGCCAAGTCGCCAAGACAGCTGCTTGAAGAGCCGCTGCACATCTGGCGGACGCTCCAACACGGTGCCGTAGGAAACATCTACCTCCAGCGCCACAACCATTAGGATGTAGAAGAAGATGGATATGCCAAACCAGGCATACTTCTGCATCACCTGCAATCGAGCGAAAACAAGGACTTTCTTCCAGGTCACCCTGAGTGTCAGCAAGGAATAGTACTTCAAACCGCGAGTGCGAATCCCGACTCGCCTTGCCCTTGGGGACAATCATGGCGCTGACAATGCCGCCCACCAGCATCAGGATATCGCTTCCGATGACGATGATTATGGTGTGCTTCTCCGCACCGCCGATCGTGCAAAGCTCATAGAGCATCAGGGGAGTCGTAGCGATCCAATCCTCGGATCGCGCCGCTGCTACTTCAAACGCAATCCGCATCATTCGGACGGAAACGCAACTGCGGATGTTCCTGAACCCGAATGCTGCCGAGAGGACAACCGTATACACGAACAAGCAAAGAAGACTATACATGCACACATGAATATATGGTTATTTTGAATTCATTCATTCATGTGTTCATCCATTTCTATTTGTATGTGTATGACCATATAGCTATACATGAATTGCCGTTCAACAAATACTCTATTGGCCTATTGGTTATGTTACATAAAAACACACACACACACACACATAATGTATGTATATATAGAGATTCGTTTATGTATTTATATATACACACAGATATACAGTAGAAATCAGCTTCAATGCCAACAGCGTAACACAGCTTAAGCCCAAGGTCGATGTAGCGGATGACTGGGATGGTCTTGCCTCGAATCTGCGCCTCGCCCATGCCCGTGACCTTGGCGAAGTATGCCATCGCCGCAATGGCCATCACGAACAAGGTGACCACGTAGGACTCCTCATGCTCGTGCCTCGCTTTTTGGCGCAATTTCTGTGGTGTCGGGGGTGACTCTCAACCTAAGCCCCAAGCACAGCTCTACCCCTAAACCCTAAAGGCCCTAAATCCTTTCTAGGCAGGGACTGCGGAGGCTAAACCCTAAACCCTCAACCCTCAACCCTAATTGACTTGCTAGGTTGTGGTGGGAAGCCTGGCCCACAAGGCCACCAGCAGCACGGAGGCCGCCGTAAAGAGACCCAAGACCACCCAGGAGACCACCTTGGCGAACTTGTAGGTCCACCACTCATGCTGGCTGCTCTGTACCTGCATTTCTGTTTTCAAAGAGCGGGGTTGGGGTTGTCCCACGTGTTTCCCGGAATAGATGATGTGCTCCTACAGTAGCGATGGCTACTGCAATGCTACGAATCGGCACCCCTAGGACGCCCGCCGCACCCCTGATTCCCTTTTCTGAGGCTGGTTTTACCCTAAGTCCAGCCATAAGCCACAATCTAGAACCCGAAGGCCCCCCCCCCCCCCCCCTGAAACTAAAGAACCAGGAGGGGCGTTCCAAGCTTTGGTGAGTACCTTTTCTGGGGGTTGACGAAAATCGGGACCCAACATATAGATCCCCAAACAATAGGATCCCTTGCAATAAGGGCCTTCATAAGGTACCCCTCATATAAGGCTAACTAATTTAACAGAGGGTCTATGGAGCAAACTGCCCACTTGCAGTTGACAACTGGACTACATGCGCCTGACACCAAGTGGGGGTTTCCGAAATTAGGCGGGGTCCTTTATGATAAAGGGACTCCTACTATTTGCGGGCCTACATATCAAATGCCCCTGAAACCCCCAAAAAAATCCCTAAACCCTCAGCCCCTCAGCCCCCCAAACCGCCCCAGCCTCTTGCCGTCGCTCCTCGAGCAAGTCGCTGATGGACTTGGACTTCCTTCCGCCCTTTCGGCCAGACTTCTTCTGGCCCAGGCTCTTCTTCCCGCCCGGGGACTTTCCTCTCAGCTTCGCTGTGTGTGATGGTAGCTGCTAATATTCACCAAAAACCCTCAGGAGCGCCCTCAATCCGTCGGCACCAAAGAAAGCGGCTCAGGCCGCGTTTGCTTATGCTCCTCTTCGAACCCTTATCAGAAGATGGTATTCCTAACATTCCTCTTGTGGGTTTTCTATAAACGAAACTGAAACAAAGTTCCCAAGAAAACTCTTCATGATAACGACGGCCCAGCTTCTCGCAGGTTTGCCTTCACTTGGACCCGGGAGGACGGTCCTCAGCCCTTCCTCTATCTGCTCATCCGGCAGAAGATGGCTCCTTGAATGGACATGCTTTAACAAACGTATGGCTCACGGAACCTCTAAGGCACTAACCGTCACTAACAAGGACAGAGCAAAAGACTTTGGCATGGCCTGCGAAGGAAATTAGGACCCGGTACTCGACGAGCCTTAAGCTTTCTAGCCCCCATCCATAGGCCACCCATTTGCAACGGAAAGGTAACCAAGGGAGTAGACAGGTGTAACCTGTTATGAGATCAGAAGAGGAGGAGAGGAGCGAGACACGTTTTTGGTGTGACTCATGTGTGGGGGCGGGGTGATAATAGTGATGCCTTATAATAATTGGGGATCCAAAAATGGGGACCATTATTAGAGACTCTTTGAGTGTGGGTAGTAAGGTGGTAACCTGCGAAGAACGGATCCGTGCCCAGGTTCGAGCTCCCCCTGGTGGAGACTGAGGGTGGTGTTGCAGAGCCTGACACCTCGCTGGCCGTCTCTTTGGCCCCCTTCATCGCAACGAGGCCCACTCCTCTAGCTGGGTTTAGGGCTTCTCTCCAAAACTTTGGGAGTTTAGGGGTGTTAGACTAAAGGGCAGGAGGCTTTGGGTTAGGGGGGTTTAGGGCCGGGGGCCCTCCTCAAAAATGGACACGTCCATGGGGGTTTATTCGGGCTATATAAGGAATGAAGAGCTGACATGTCTCTCTGGGTCATTATAGCGATATATGCGGATCAGGGCAAGACATTCCAAAAAGCAATCGCCGTCTTGGACGCCAAGGGGAGGAGCTCCAGGCCCGCACCCCGGCTCCCGATTAAAACAAACACACACACACACACACACAGCAAAGACACTGCACTCATAAATGAAAAAAAGCTGGAAGTCCGCATCCAGGGAGACAGAGCTGTGCCGTCGCCTTCATTTTACGCCTTAGGTGCGCATGGAGGATGGGCGGCTTATCTCACACCTCGCGCCACGCTCCCCGACGCCTTCTTGCCAGAAACGGTATCATCACAGTTCTCACTCCACCAAGTCGCGGATTGAAGAGAACACGGTTGCAAGGATCTTCGTCAGGCGGGACTAATCACCCTTCGCTCGAAAATCTGCGGTCAAGCAAGGTGTTCGTCCTTCAGTGCTTCAAGTAATACGATCATCCCATATCCCTCAGTCAAGGAGTCTTTACATCAAGACCTGAGCACACTTAACCCTAAACTCTTAGGAAACCTGTGGGTGGCTATGACCCAGACCCTCCCCTGCGCAAAAAAGTAAGATGGATTTCTTTGCTTCTGGGCCCCAAGTGATGCTCAACAAAAGGGCCCTTCGGCCCGCGGCCTCCCCAAGTGATGGAACTCAAGGGGGGCCCCGTTGGGCAAGCAGGGGAGGGGGGTTTAATCGCTCACACTCGGACAAGCCAGGCGAGGCACACAAGTTCCACAGTCTCAACATCGGCTCTGCAGCACATATGGCTACAGTCATGCTGGTGATACTACTCAACACTCACGGTTTGCGAACTGGTGGGGGTTTAGGGTTTAGGGTTTAGGGTTTAGGGGTTAGGGGTTAGGGTTTAGGGCCTGGAGTTTGGCTTGCAGAGTTCCTTTTGCCTTCGGCCGAGTCAGTCGGTACACGGCCACTGGGTCTTGCCAGCCCCAGGACTTAGGGCGACCATCGTGCAGCAAGGCTGCGCATGATGCGCAAGGCAAGTCCGAACTTTGAGTCCAAACATGCTGCGCAAGAAAATGTCCAGAAAAGATCCGGATAATTTTAAGAAAAGTCGTGCAAGCATCGTTCACTGGGAAGGCTTGTTCCGAAGACTTCCGAAAGGGCCTATAGCATGTACCATGCAGCACTCGTTGAATCTAGTACGTGTCCTGGCACAGTGAGCTCAGCTTGCCGAGCAGCGAAAATGGGTCACGAAACCCCCGGAGTGCGATTCTCTACAGGGGTTTCGGACCCTGGGGGTCCAGAGTGCCCAACCTCTCAGAATGTCAAACTAGGAGCTGTAACCCTTTTGACGCTAAACCCCTAAACTTGGCCTTGATTCCATACCATGATGTTTCCTTGTGCTTCGTGGCGAGGCTCGAGCATGCGCGCGGGTCGGCACATACTCAAGAAGGCACGCCAACCGACTTATGAGGAAGTCATTCGAGGGCTTTTCGGACCCCAATAGCATGAGGCATAAAGGAAACCTGCCCCAGGATGAAAAAAAATTGTATTTTCTGAAATGCTATACACGGACACGATCGGCTTCTCAACCCCACAGCACGAGGTGCCTTGAACTTGAGAGAACGGATGAGACAGATCCAGCTTGTTCTAGGGATGTGATAAGGTACAGCTTGAGCAGCTGCAATGTGCCCCCCGATTCTCTCAGACAAAGCTGCGCCATTGCTTGGGAACATATCAGACATGATGGTTTCTATATCCTTTCTAGGGTTTAGGTATATGGTATGACTACAGATGGCATAGGCCCGGAAGCCTACTAGAGCCCAAGAAAGCTCACGTTCAGCTCAGCTCAGTGGTGGCCGTCGAGGCCGTGGTGGCCGCCCTCCAAGGGCTCCGAGCCATGTGCGTGGCACTGCGCTCCGTGGGCTGAGCACGTGAAGACAACCTTGGTGTCGGAGTACCCTCCGAAGCTTCCCAAGCTGAGGCCCTCTGAAGATTCCCAAGCAAGGTCCTAGCAAAACCCGACAAGGGGAAGAACAAACACACGCACACGCGCACACGCACTTCTATGTATGTATAATTCTAGTCAACAAAAAGGTCAAAACTGGAACGGGAACCTCTCAGCGAATACCAGCAACAGAGTGCCGAAGTGCGACTTGTACCCCCTGGTGCGGCGCGAAATGCCGAAATGGCAGCCTGCGCCGCGAAGCGTTTCTTTTTCGAGCCATGAAGCGGAGCGCCTGCGCCGTGACATCACCCTTGCGTGTCGGATTGACACCTTTTGTCTTCAGAGCGCTGCGAGCGGAGGAGAGTGCTTTCGCCGCCTTTCCGGCCGGTTCACAGTGCGAGTTCGCAGCTCTTGTGCCCCTCGTGTGGGCTCTCTGGAGCATCTACTGTCACGAGACTGAATGGAGCTTTCTTCTTTCGGGTAGAGGCCCCCTTGTTACGCCGGCCTTGGCAGGAGTGCTCTCTTTTTTTTTGCTTGGCCGTGGTTGACCATCTCATGTCCGACCGTCTGTCTCTTGTAGGCATGAGAGGGATTGACCGTGGCTGTGGAAACCCTTGCAGCCAGGGCTCAGCATAGAAAAATGGGGCCCCTGGTTAAGACACCTTGCTCGTTGTTCTTAAGCCTTTCGCGTCGCAATGCCGCAACCTCGCAAAATAATTCAAGGCCTGTGTCGTTGTCCAGCGCCTGTGCTGTGCTTCTGAATTCGGTTTGAGGATGACTATACATAGGCCTTCAAGGCTTGTGATTCCCCGGCATCGATCTGACTAAGCCAGGCCAGGCCCTCGATCCCAAAAGTCATGCAGGGAGACGAAAGTTCAGCCGCAAAAGCCGCAACGGATTTTGCTTGCTCCTCAAACCGACAGAGGCGGACCCCGACGGCCCGGTGGCACATGTGGCCTTCTGCGGGTGATTGTGAAAACCCGCTCTTGAACCGTAAGTGCGCCAATCCGATGGGAGTCGTCATACTTTGTCATCCAAAACTCGTGCTTCCTCCCCCTTGAAGACCCCTTGCACCCAAGAGAACACTCAAAATCCAACAAAACCTCCTTGAAGCCTCCTTTTGCTTCCGCTCAGGAGCAAAAAACTCCATCCCAATCTTCGAGATGCAATCGAGGATGCACAGCAGCGCCTCGGTCTGCGGGTCATTGTTCGGGCCATGAGACGGGTCTCTCAAAAGGTGGCGCTAGGGTTTTCCGAAGTTTAGTGTCCCGGTCCCCGCTTGCAGTGATGTAGTGGAGAAGTATGAACCATCGTCCCCACCTAATTCCCAGGCTGCAAGTGGCGTGAGGCTCGCCACGGAGACGCCACACGCTCCTAACCCTAAATTGAACAGCCTAAAGCCTCGAACACGAGAAGTACCCCGAAGCCCAACACCAAAGCCAGTAGACTCGAATTGCGGGCTACAGATTCCGAGGTTGGAAACCCTGAACACCAGTGCCGCCGAGGTGCGTCTTCCATCCCTTTCGAGATCAAGCCGGCATGAGCCCGGCCTGGCAGAGGCTTTTAGGGTTTTTAGGGTTGAGGGTTCCGTGGTTTCGGCTTTGTAGGCTTTCAGGGGTCCAAGCAGAAAGTATATTCGATATAATAGCCTTTCCGAGTATCACGTGCGTACTGTCTGTGTTGTATTCAGCGCACCTAGAAGGACCACAATCGGATATCCCGTCCACGAGATCACTGTCAGCCTTGCTTTTGTAGCAACAAACGGCAAGAGGCGTTGAATGCTGCTTTCTGAGGCCACATACGGAGGACAAAAAACCCGAAGGTGGTTTTCCGTTTTGTGCCAAGTCGCCAAGACAGCTGCTTGAAGAGCCGCTGCACATCTGGCGGACGCTCCAACACGGTGCCGTAGGAAACATCTACCTCCAGCGCCACAACCATTAGGATGTAGAAGAAGATGGATATGCCAAACCAGGCATACTTCTGCATCACCTGCAAACGAGCGAACACAAGGACTTTCTTCCAGGTCACCCTGAGTGTCAGCAAGGAATAGTACTTTAAACCGCGAGTGCGAATCCCGACTCGCCTTGCCCTTGGGGACAATCATGGCGCTGACAATGCCGCCCACCAGCATCAGGATATCGCTTCCGATGACGATGATTATGGTGTGCTTCTCCGCGCCGCCAATCGTGCAAAGCTCATAAAGCATCAGGGGAGTCGTAGCGATCCAATCCTCGGATCGCGCCGTTGCTACTTCAAACGCAACCCGCATCGCCCGGACGGAAACGCAACTGCGGATGTTGCTGAACCCGAATGCTGCCGAGAGGACAGCCGTATACACGAACAAGCAAAGAAGACTATACATGCACACATGAATATATGGCTATTTTTAATTCATTCATTCATGTGTTCATTCATTTCTATTTGTATGTGTATGATCATATAGCTATACATGAATTGCCGTTCAACAAATACTCTATTGGCCTATTGGTTATGTTACGTTACATAAAACACACACATAATGTATGTATATATAGAGATTCGTTTATGTATTTATATATACACACAGATATACAGTAGAAATCAGTTTCAATGCCAACAGCGTAACACAGCTTAAGCCCAAGGTCGATGTAGCGGATGACTGGGATGGTCTTGCCTCGAATCTGCGCCTCGCCCATGCCCGTGACCTTGGCGAAGTAGGCCATCGCCGCGATGGCCATCACGAACAAGGTGACCACGTAGGACTCCTCATGCTCGTGCCTCGATTTTTTGCCGCAATTTTGGTGGTTGGGCGACTCTAAACCTAAGCCCCAAGCACAGCTCTACCCCTAAACCCTAAAGGCCCTAAATCCTTTCTAGGCAGGGACTGCGGAGGCTAAACCCTAAACCCTCAACCCTAAACCCTAATTGACTTGCCAGGTTGTGGTGGGAAGCCTGGCCCACAAGGCCACCAGCAGCACGGAGGCCGCCGTAAAGAGACCCAAGACCACCCAGGAGACCACCTTGGCGAACTTGTAGGTCCACCACTCATGCTGGCTGCTCTGTACCTGCATTTCTGTTTTCAAAGAGCGGGGTTGGGGTTGTCCCACGTGTTTCCCGGAATAGATGATGTGCTCCTACAGTAGCGATGGCTACTGCAATGCTACAGCCGCTGCTACTCCCCGCGGAGAACAAGCCCCTAGGACGCCCGACGCAGATACACCGTATTCCCTTTTTTCTGAGGCTTCAGGATCCCTTAGAAAACCCGAAATCAACCAAAAGTTCCCCATGGCTCAACTTATCCACCCCAATTCCGCCATCTAGAACCCCATGCAAGGCGCCTCCTAAAGCTAAAGCTTCAGGAGGTTCGCTCCAAGCTTGGGGGGCACCTTATACATGGCTAGCTAACAGGGGTCTATGGAGTAAACTGCCCACCTCTGCAGTTGGTTTTTTTTTTTTGGGGGGGGGGGGGGGGTATGACAGCATACTTATAAAAGGGACCACCAGGGAATACCACTTGTAATTCTTCCGACCCCTAAACCCTCAGCCCCTCAGCCCCCCAAACCGCCCTCGAGCCTCTTGCCGTCGCTCCTCGAGCAAGTCGCTGATGGACTTGGACTTCCTTGCGCCCTTTCGGTGAGACTTCTTCTGGCCCAGGCTCTTCTTCCCGCCCGACTTTCCTCTCGGCTTCGCTGTGTGTGCCAATCGCTGCGAATGCTCTTATTGATCTTAATACTATTAATATTCTGAAAAGGGAATATTATTAATAGTTTTACCACAGACCCTCAGGAGCCCCCATCAATCTATTAACGAAACTAAAGCCAAATTCCCAAGAAAACTATGAATTATGACGACGGCCCAGCTTCTCCCAAGTTTGCCATCACTTGGACCTGGCAGGATGGTCCTGAGCCCTTCCTCCATCTGCTCATCCGGTAGAAGATCGCTCCTTGAATCAAGGAGAGCATCCTTTTGGGACCCTTTCGCCCACCGAAACCGTAGCTCTACAGGGGCGGAATGGTTCGGAATGGTTCGGGGGAAAGGAGCGCAGACTGAGACAAAGAACATACCGGAGCTGTAAACAGGGTGTCCAAAGTGGAAACAGAGGAATGGCTCACGGAACCTCTGAGTGAGGCACTGGCAAGGACAAAGCCAACTACTTGCATGGCACGCGAAGCGAGTCAGAACCCGGTACTCGATGAGCATTAAGCCTTTCCGAGTTCTCAACAACAGGCCACCCATTTGCAACAGAAAGGTAACCAAGGGAGTAGACAGGTCCGCAACCTGTAGGAACCGAATGCAAACTCCGACGGTTCGTTGCTTCTTCAGCTGCAGAGGCCAACATCCCTCAGACAAGCTTGTGATTTGACCCATGTGGGGGGGGGGGGGGTTCTCTAAAATTAGGGAAACTTTTGGGTCCGTCTTGTAACAGTGAATAATTCTGAATAATCGTGATCTAGTAGTGAGTGATGCCTTATATTAGGATCCCAAAAAAGGGGGACCATCATTTAGAGAACATGGGGTACCCTAAATATTAGGTGCCGTATTATAATGAGGATATTATAGTATAGGGATCCAAAAAGGGACCATAATTTTGACAACCACCCATGTGTGTGTAACAGATCGGCGCCCAGGTTCGAGCTCCCTCTGGTGGAGACTGAGGGTGGTGTTGCGGAGCCTGACACCTCGCTGGCCGTCTCTTTGGCCCCCTTCATCGCAACGAGGCCCACTCCTCCAGCAGGGCTTAGGGCTTCTCTCCGAGACTTTTTGGGGTGGACTTTTTGGGAGGGGCCCTAAACTCCCTAAACCCTAAACCCTGAACCCTAAACCCTGGGTTAGAGGGCTGGAGGCTGTTGGGGTTAGGGTTTAGCGGGGATTTAGGGGGCGGCTTCAGGCTTCCTGCCGGGAGGGAGGGGGGTTTTTTATTTGGGCGCCATAATATATATATAGATAGATAGATAGATAGAAGACTGACATTTCTCTCTGGGTCACAAGGCGCTAAATTCGGATTCGGGCAAGACATTCAAAAAGCAACCGCCGCCTTAGGACGACAAGTGGGAAGAAAGCTCTTGGCCCGTACCCCGGCTGCCCTTATGCGAAACAACAACCAAAGAAACACACACACACAGACAACAAAACACGGCACTCATAACTAAAGCTGGAAGTCCGCATCCAGGGAGACAGAGCTGTGCCGTCGCCTTCATTTTTGCCTTAGGTGCGCATGGAGAATGGGCGGCTGATCTCAAACCTCTTGCGACGCTCATCATCATCATCATCATCATCATCATCATGATTATGGTTATTATTATTATTAGTAGTAGTAGTCGTCGTAGTAGTAGTAGTGGTAGTGGTAGTAGTATTAGTACTACTATTAATATTATTGCTACTATTCTTGTTCTTCTTCATATTCTTACTACTATTATCACATGTCGCTATTATCACATTTCGCCCCACCAAGTCGCCGATTGAAGAGAACACGGTTGCAAGGATCTTCGTCAGGCGGGACCAATCACCCTTCGCTCGAAAATCTGCGGTCAAGCACGGTGTCATTCAGTGCTTCAACATTGCGGATCTCAGTGGTGAATATGTCAACACACCAGGTTTTGGCGTTTTGGCTGCAGGGGTAGAGATTTGTCTTGGGTCTTCTATCTTAGTTTTCTTTTACTTTGTGGGGGTCAGTTTGGGTAGTTTTCCATAGTTTCCCTTACAGAAAACTGCATTTCCTCTAGATGTTTGGAAACCTGCCTGTCCTGTATATTCGCAGAGGAGGGCCTCCATTTTCTCTACGTTCAACAGGAGACCCACAATTTCTTCGAAGCTTCTAGTGCGAAAGAGGAGAAGACGTCACGCCTCGGGCTACACATCTCCAGCTAAAGGGGCCCTATGATGAGCACTGAATTGTTTTGGGCTACGGTGAGGATTCGTCTTTGTGCACACACCGGTCACAGTGCCCAGCGAGGGCAGAAGAAGGGCAACCGCAAACAGACCCATAGCGAATCGTGTATGGCAACCTTGCAAGGCAGGACCGCATCCAAGCAGATTCGCAATCACTGCGCCAAACCGCACTCATGCGATCTTTTTCCGAACCGCGGAGCACGATCCTCAAGAAGCGTGCCAGCGCCTGGTTTCAGCCACTGTCACTTGGCGGCCGCGGGCATGACATTCACAGCCCTCTTCAAAGCTCTGCCATCTGAAGCCTGAAGCCCTCCGGCTCGAGACGGGACAACTGTGAGCGGGCCGTGAAGGCCGCACCGAGAATTCCCTGCAGCCTGTCAGACACGTTACCAGCATGCAGTTAAAGCTGGTCCCAGCATCACGTGCAAGACTGAAATGCGTCTCGACTCGATCAACGTCATCTGGCAAGCGCATGCTGACCTTTTTAAAGCCACAGAGATGGACCCTTTCGCATGCAATTAATGCATAATGCATAAACTTACAATCCCAAGAAAGCATCTACGGAGGAGGTGCTGTACGCTGCGCCCCAGCCTACCCGAGCAGGAGACAGAAGATCGAGCACTGGCTTCATGCAATGAGCAAACTGAGGACTCTGTCTCGTAACTGCTGGTGCTCTTCTTGAAAGCATGCTTGATGGGCACACTTGGCAGTGCAACCGGAGGAGCAGCCCCAAGAATACGCAAGAATGCTATCGCAATCTGCAATGAATTCGTGAGGGTATCCACATCACCCCAAAATCAAAGCAACTATCATACCATCAGGATCCGCCATCGCCATGATCATGTGCAGCATCTCCGCTGACATCGCCTTAATTAGCACCAGTAGATCATCCAAAATAGAATTACGAGTACCAGGATGGGCTATCATACCCTATAATCCCTTGAAAAGGCTCTTCATAGGGTTCATTCGGGGGATTCTAAGGCCTAATAGCCCATCCTGGTACACCTCATGCACATAGTGTCAACTGCAGGCGAACCCGCCTCTTCCATGCCTCAAGCCCTTATGATAAGAAGCACTGACAGCAATTTTCTGAAACAATTTCTCCGGTGTAATTCGGATAGCCAGTGCTAAGAATGGCCAGCCCCCTTTGAAATTTGATTGCCTGGCCTCGGTACAAAAGCATTCTATAAGGAAAAATCTTAGCTTTGGGGTTGGCCTGGAGATTGAAGATTTCAGGGTCCGACAACCTCAGGCCTCAAGGTTTAGGAAGCCTCAGCCCTTAGGCCTCTGGATCCAAACCCAACTAGCCCGCAAAAAATATAATTCCGGGGAGCAAACTTTTTATATTATGCGGCATTCGGGCAGCTGCTGGACTACCCCCTTTGAAATTTGATTGCCCGGCCTCGGTACAACAAAATCTAATAAGGAAATCTTAGTTTTGGGGCTGGCCTGGAGACTGAAGATTTCAGGGCCTGACAACCTCAAGCTCAGTTCAGAAGCGATTTCTGGACGACAACACCATTCGACAGCCTCGCCGAAATTTTGCATCGCCCGATGTTTTTTTCACAATTCCGGCGGTCCTCCCCAAATAGATCCCTCTGAATAGTTTTTGGATTTTTTTCACTATTCCGGGGGCCCACACTGATCAGGATACAACATTACTCCACCTGTTGCAATGATGCCTCTACTCTTAATTGTCAACGTGCCCTAACTCTTTGAGATGATGTCTGAGCGTGCAGGATCAAGGTCTGGCCACGGTGTGAACCAAACGGCAGGGAGCGATTGAGCATAAATTTACGAAACGGTAGTGTGAATAAACTGCAAGCTAAACAGAACGATGCACCTCGCAAACGCGACGAGCTGCTCACACTGCTCACAAAGCGCGCTCACGCGTCCCAACAACACGTCGATGTGACCTGGGTACGGCTCTGCGAATTCGACATTCCCACATGAAGACATTCTTTGCATGGCTTTGAAGGGGTTGCAATCAGAAGCTGCAGAAAAGTGGCAACCTGGTTCCTTGAGCTGGACATAGAGGCTTAGAGTTAAGTGTTTAGTGTGTTAAGGTCGAGGATCTGACACTGACCTACTCGTAGCTGGGTTTTTGTTCTAAGGGAACTCAAACAAAGCTAACACAGTAGGGGTACAAAATTTTGCTTACTATCGGACCCTATTCTGGGAGCTACATTTTTAAGTTCCTCAACCAGAACCCACAGTTAAGTGTTCAACTTGGAGTTTGGGAGTTCGCTGTTGTGCAAGCTGTCTTCAGGCGGCATCCCAAAAACCTGTTGGGTGGTTTAGGGTTGTAGGATTGTAGGGTTTAGGACTTAGGACTGCTCAAAGCCTTAAGTGAGCCCTGTCCTAAACCGCGGTAGGATCCGAACATATGGGGGGGGGGGGCAGGGGGAGAAGCTTCGAACTGTAAAAAACCCTGAAGAACCCCTCAGCTCAAGGCTTAACTTCTAATATCATTCCTTCCCGATTATATCCCCCCCCTCCCAATTTTGAACAAACCCCCCACCAGCTCCCCCCAATTGCAGTATCGTTGCTGTCACAATAAACTTGGGGGGAGTATTAGGGGAGGTTGGGCGGGGTTGAGCGGGGCCAATAGTAAGGGGGAGGGGATTAGTCCAAGACCAGATGTGCAAACTTAGCAGCCTTAGGACCCTCCACATAGAAAGCTTCCGCATCTGCATAGTCAGGCTCCCGGCAGGTTTTGCCTTGACCTGCTTGACTTCCTTCAGTTCAAGTCTCCCCCAGCAATTCAGCCAGCCGGGGGCACCCAGCAGCAAAGTCCAGGATCATGTGGACCAAGCCAAGCGAGACTTGTCTGCCTGGGTTGCAGAGCCTATAGGAGGCTGTTGGGATAAGGGAAGCCTCTGAGAAGGCTGAAGTGGAGAAGGGCACCATGCCTTTGTGTGCAGGATGTTCTGCATATGTAAGCATTGCTACAGCACAGGTGTGCAGGACGTTCAGCATATGTAAGCATTGCTTCGGCACAGGCGAGAGCAGAGCTCCGCATATGTAAGCATTGCGACTGGATTTTGGCTCAAGCATGAAAAAGTGCGTGCCTGGATTGGGGTGTGAGGGTTTTGGGGGGTGTTTCCCGGGTGGTTCCTCTAGCTTAGGCTGGTCTAGCCTCTTCCGGACCCCCCCTAGCCCGGTGGTCCCCGTCCAGGGTTTTTTCCGTCTTGAGGGTTTGGTTGAAGCTGGGGCTTTCTGGGTGTAGTCCTGGTTTCCCTTAGATCCCTCTTTTCGATGGCCGCTCCTGCGCCCTCCGCCCCTGGTCCTCACGAGGACCAAGGGGTTATGAGCCCAACTGGTGCTCGGCGTGCCATTGATTCGAGATTGGAAGGTGAGACTGCTGGTCCGCGCTACGATCGTCATCCTGCTGGAAATGCGATGCCCAATGGGGTACTTTCGGCTGATGTTGTAAGGCGTGAGGATATGGTGCAGGCCTCACCTGGTGCAGCGAGTTTGGAAAGCGCTCCATGGCCACCAGCTATGACTTCAAGGACAGAAGATGTGGGACCGCCTGGTACATTTTCCTGTGATTCCGGGCTTCGCCAAGAAACGTCTTCCGTGTCTGCTGGGAATGTGGGGCCAACGATTCCGCACTTGGTCGCGCGGGCGAGTACGGATAATCACCCGGGAGGCTCCCAGGGTGGGACTGCCTTGCCAGTCCCGTCCTGGATGAGTCGTCTCGGGGATTATCTTCGCCAAGCTTCCGGACAGGTTGAGACGCTGACAACGACGCTCACGAGGCAACGAGTGTTGGGTAGTAGTGGTGGTTTAGTGGTTCAACAACATGAGCAGTTGCAGCAGCAGCATACCACTTCGCACCCCTCCACACCGCAGCATGCAACATACCCGGCAGCAGCGGCAACTATGTCTGGTGGTTTTTCTCCGACAGGACAACAAAGTGGGGATCCTCCTCTGTTTCCCAGCAGTGCTCGTCGTATTATGGAAGGCTGGGCAAGACAGGCTCCTTTGCTGCATGGTCCGAGGAGTGTGGGAACAGACGATGCTTCATCGGCGTCCATTCCGGTGGAGTTGGTGCAGGAGGAGGTGAGAAGACAAGTGGAAGCGGCCTTGGCAGGACAGAAGGGAAGGCTTGAGCGCCTTCAAGAAGAAAATGAGCGATTGCGGGAGATGGCTTTTGGGGGTGGTGGCGATGTGAAAGGACAAGGCCGGGGTGGGGCTCTATGGAATGAGGCGCAGCGGCAGATGAGGGAGCAGTCTGAGCTTCCTGAGGATCGTGGTGTACCTCATGGAGATCGGGCCTACTCAGCATCGCAAGTGCTTCATGAGGATCGTGGTGTACCTCATGGAGATCGGGCCTACTCAGCATCGCAAGTGCTTCATGAGGATCGTGGTGTACCTCATGGAGATCGGGCCTCTTTCGCAACTCAAGTGCTTCATGAGGATCGTGGCGTACCTCATGGAGATCGGGCCTCTTTCGCAACTCAAGTGCTTCATGAGGATCGTGGCGTACCTCATGGAGATCGGGCCTCTTTCGCAACTCAAGTGCTTCATGAGGATCGTGGCGTACCTCATGGAGATCGGGCCTCTTTCGCAACTCAAGTGCTTCATGAGGATCGTGGCGTACCTCATGGAGATCGGGCCTCTTTCGCAACACATGCACTTCGTGAGGATCGTGGTGTACCTCATGGAGATCGGGCCTCCTCAGCATCTCATGCACTTCGTGAGGATCGTGGTGTACCTCATGGAGATCGGGCCTACCCAGCATCTCATGCACTTCGTGAGGATCGTGGTGTACCTCATGGAGATCGGGCCTCTTTCGCTCATGCACCTCGTGAGGATCGTGGTGTACCTCATGGAGATCGGGCCTACCCAGCATCTCATGCACTTCCTGAGGATCGTGGTGTACCTCATGGTGATCGGGTCTTTGCAGCAACAAGTGTGACTTCTGGGGTTCGGGGAGCTCTTCGGGAAGGTCGTCAACCAGTTCCGTCGATGTCTCGGGCCCATGATGGTCCTCGTGCACAGAGGGGCGAAGCTGGTGCCAGGTCAAGAAGTGCAGGAGGACATGGCGAGCTTGGGAACAGGCCAAGGAATGTGTATGCTCGTGGTTATGGTGCCAAGCGATCTGCCTCAGCGAGTCCGTCGCCAAGTGGTGGTAGAGGAGTTGTGGGTGAGAGGTTGTCTGGAGGGGATGTCTGTGGTGTCCCGCCGTTTGACCGAGCCTTCAGGGCTCGCTTGGAGCCTGAGCTAGGGATAAGGGGAGATTATGAGCCGCTGAAGAGACCTGAGGGAGTTGCAACCCTTGGTGCGCCTTGTGAAGCTCCTCCTGGTCTCAGTCCTCCCGTTGCTCCAGGAAGCGAGCAACAACCAGGCGATGTGGCGCCTGCAGCTCCGTCAAGCCCTTCTCCGATGGACATTGTGCTTACAGGTATCGGGCAGCTGCAACAGATGTTGCTGAAGAAGGGAGACGGGTTGGATGTGGATAAGGCGTCGCCGAATTTTCCGATGTTGCCTGACTACACTCCGGAATCTGGTGCCATAGACTTCCAGGACTGGCTGTATCTTGTGGAGCAACAAGTGTCTGCTATGGCGGCAAGCGCTGGCGAGTGGTGGAAACAAGTCATGGGTTCGGCCTTGGAAGCATACCAGGAGTATCAGGCGCTTTCGCCGATCAAGCGGCTTGGGGTGAAAGCAAGGCTATCAGAGGAGCTTCAGGACGGCAAGTACCAGAAGCTTGCGAAAAAGGTGGCAGCCTTACTTCTAGCAGCGCTTCCGACAGGTGTCCGAGATGAGCTAGTGGCCTATCGTGTGCAGGGGACTCATCAGATACTGTTCAGGCTGATGGCTGTGTACCAGCCTGGGGGCGCTCAGGACCGGGCACAACTTCTGAAACAGTTGGAGGTGAGTGAATCTCCAGGAACAGCGACGGATGCAGTGGTTGCATTACGGAGATGGTATCGCCTGTACCAGCGAGCTTTGGATCTTGGTGTTTCCTTGCCAGATGAGTCCGTCCAGGTGAAGTCTTTGGGGGTCTTAACGAAGAAGGTGGCGGAGACAAATCAAGACTTTCGCTTTAAGGTGTCCTTGGCGAAGGCGGAGCTTCAGATTGACACCAGACCCACCTCGGAGAATGTGTTGAAGTACTTCCAACATCTCCTTGCAGAATGTGAGCAGCTTGGGGCTACTGGGAGAAAGGCTACACCGTCACAGGCATCGGAGGCTCCCGGACCCAAACTGAAGGGCATGCAGCAACAGCCCTCAGATGCCGGAAATACCACTCAGAGGCCAAAGGCCAAGGCCTCTCCACCGCCTACGAATCCGACAAAGCCGTGTTCATGGTTCACTACTGATGATGGTTGCAGAAATGGAAAGAACTGCAGTTTCAGGCATTCGTGGGAGGGTCTTCAGCGAGCCGAACGGTGCCTCCTTTGTGGTTCGACGAAGCACAGGGCAAGGGATTGTCCTACGAAGAAGGTGAGTCCTACTGACAAACCGGCCCCAAAGCCGAGGTTGGCCAAACAGCAGGCTGCAGCAGCTACTCCTACAACAGGGGCAGCTTCCTCGGAAGGTCCTTCGCTTTCGTCAGGTCCGTCGGTGCCGGCTGGAGATGCTACTCGTGAGCAGCCTTCAAGCCTTACTCCTTCAACCTCAAACAAGATCGACACGGAGCAGGTGGCGGCGATGTTGTCCGAAACAAACAAGATGCTGAAGGCCTTGACTTCCACTCAGGCTCAGGGCTCTGGCACAGGTTCGGCTTCTTCGGCGCCCTCGGATCCTTTGGGGGTTATACAGAGACAGTTGGAGGATTTGCGGCGACTGCGAATGCTGGTGGTGCTTTCCGGAGAGGGTTGGCAATGAAGACTTCCGTGTGAAAATGGATGTGTATGAACGGTTGCTGCAGACTGAGCCAGAGGCGGTTGAGAAGGATTCCGAGGAGAAGATGGCCCTGTTGGATTCGGGAGCGAGCCATGCCTTTCGGGTTGCTGTTGACGATCGTGAGGTGGAACAAGGAAAGTTGGTGAAGGTTGCCTTGGCCAATGATGATCACGTTGTCCTTTCGCAGAACGCTGGTGGAACCCTGTTGTCTTCGCCTTCTACGAACCCTTCGGGTGGTGGAACGATACTACCTATGGGACAGTTGGTGCGGTTGCTTGGATGCACGGTACGATGGTCTCCGACAAGGCTTGAAGTTCGACACCCGATCCATGGCAAGTTGCGAGTGAAAGTCAACCATTTCTGCCCAGAGCTGACCGAGGTGAGCGCGCTACAGCTCATCAAGGAATTGGAGGAAAAACGGGTTGGCGAGTTCACGAAGACCTTGGAGGATATGGAGAGGCAGCTCAAGGAGATTGAGCTCTCGGGCTGTGGAGATCGCGGTTGGGAACAGCACCTCATGGATCTGGTGGAAACTGGGGCTCGAACGAGTTTCTGTGGCTTCATCCAGAAGGTGCCCTATTTGCAGGGGGTGACCCCGGAGGCTTTCGCGACCATCCCTGAGGAGTTCCCGGTGACGAACAAAGAGGGCTGGAGGCTCTTGAAGGGCATGCCGTGGAGTAGAAGGAAACGAAGGAGTATGTTCCTTAGCAACAACTGGCTGGTGCATCTCTTCTCGGGAGACAAAAGGAAGAAGGGACTGGCTTCTTCAAGCGAATGGAAGGCCAGTCTGCATCGTGATGATGTTCTGGTGGAGGTGGACCTGAACCTTAGCAGTCACTTCGACATGTTAAAGAAGGATGGCATCTTCAAGCTGCTTTTGTGGGGAGCTGCTCGGGGCAAAATTAAGGCTCTATTTGGGGGACCGCCTCGAAGAACCTTTCCCTTTACAGGAAATGAGACGATGCTGTCCTCGCAACATGTTCGGGAAGTTCAGCTGGTTGCCAGGGCGATGATCCTTTGGTCAGTAGCTTCTGAGGGTAGGAGGATCCTTTGGAGAGAGGGATCTTTAGAAACCCCGGGTCCTGGAGTTGGTTGGTTGCTGGAACATCCGAGAGTTGAATCGGGGAAGGTTCCTGGACTAGAGCAAGGCGACAACAAAGAGAGTGACCTTGAGGAGCAAGAGAGGCTGGCTAAGGAATGGTTCGACCTGGGCAAGTTTTCGCATCGTGAGTGCCGCATGTTGTTGGAAGAGATGAACTTCAAGAAGAACTTGCGAGCCTCATCCCGAGGCGAACAAGAAGGATCTGTGGTGCTTGGCGCATATGCTCATGGCGGCAATCGGGGGGTTACTACAGAGGCACTCCAGAGACCGTGGTTGACGAAGTACCTGAACATGTTTATGCGGTGGAATGTGGAAACGCAGCTGCATGAGGATTGCTCTTGGTCGGCTTTGTTGGTCATGGAGACGAATGAAGTGCCTCGACATCGAGATGTCCGGAACGCTCGTGATAGTAACAACTACTTGATTGGGTTGGGCGATGATGATCCTGGCCGCGAGGTTTCCTCCGGTCTGTGGCTTGAAGGGGACCTGGATGGACAGAATGGGTTGGGCGATGATGATCCTGGCCGCGAGGTTTCCTCCGGTCTGTGGCTTGAAGGGGACCTGGATGGACAGAAATTTGGTGGTGGAGGGAGATGTGTCGAAAGGTCCTGTCCATTCTCTGGCTTTGAACAATTAAAGGGCTGTTTGGTTGAGATCTCTGGAAGGATGACGAGGTTCAATCCAAAACAACACCATGCGTATGTGGGGAAGGATCAAACTCAGAAGGAGCTTCTCGTGGCGGCCTACACACCTCTCGGCCTCGACAAGTTGCCGGATGAAAAGGTCGGGAAACTTCGATGCTTGGGTTTTCCGATACGCTCAACCTTGGAATGGGATGAGGGCCCAGCGCTACATGGAAGGGACCAGGTTCGTGAGGCTCAGGAGGAGCTGGAAAGTGAGGATGAGGAGGAGGCCAATGGACGGGTGCCATGCTACGACCTGTTTGGAACGACCATGTGGAAAACCTTCGCGAGGATGTACACCATGGATGAGGTCAAGTGTGATTTGGAAAACTTGGGACCTACGACTTTGGGTACGAACCTCAATCTCTGGTCTTTGGAGAGTGAGGATGGTCATGGTCTGAAGGCCGGTACAAGAACAAGTCGATGGCCAACGGGGATGATAAGTTCTGTCTGTGATGCTCTATGTGCTTGGCCCGGTTTTGCTACGCGAGAACATGCTTTGACCAGTATGGTTCGAAGGCTGGGAAGGCGAGATGGTGAAGAAGGTGAAGGGAAGCTCGCTAAATTCAGCTTGGAGGAATGGCGCGTTCACCTGAGACGGGACCATTTGCCATACAGGAAGGATTGCCGGGAGTGCATCCAAAGGGCGACGGGCAAGCCACATAGGAGAGTCGCTCATCCTTCAGCGTATGTCCTGAGCATTGACACTGCTGGTCCGTTTAGGGCGACGGGCACTGATGGAGCGCGCTACCTGCTAGTCGGGTGTTTCCGCTTTCCTAAGATCCCAGAAACAGGGGACCCTGAGCAGTCTGGTGTGCAGCCTGGGGACGTGGACAAACCGGATGACGAGGGTGATTGGTTGCCTGGGATGGAGGGCGAGGATGTCGTATCAGAGGTTCCTGCTACTGAAGGTGCGCCTGTAGGGGTCTCGGAGGAGCTTGGCCCTGATCCTGCTGCTATTCGTGAGGAAGATGATCCGAAACAGGAGGAGATCAAGGCCCTGGAGCGTATGTCTGAGCCCTTCGAGTTCGAGTCTGCCTATCTTTGTCGACCCTTGAAGACCAGGAAGAAGGCGGAAACACTCAAGGCCTTGCAGGAGATGTACCTGTCTCTAAGACAACGGGGCCTGCCAGTCTTACGAGTACATTGCGACCGAGCAAGGGAGTTCATGAACGAGGGTATGGACATGTGGGCAGCGGCGAGGGACATCATAGTCACGAAGACTCAAGGCGATGATCCGTCACAAAATGGGGCGGCGGAGCGGGCTGTTGGTTTCATCAAGGGCCGGGTGCGAACTTTGCTTGGACAGGCCAAAGCCTACAGCAAGCTTGGAGATGCCGTAGTGAGATCGTGGTGGTCAAGGGCGGCATCAACGATTTGCCAACAACACGCTGCTCAGGCCTTTGGAAGGGGCAATCCTAGCGTCGCTCCTTTCGGATCACAGGTGTTCATCAAGAGGAAGAGGTATGGCCAAGGGGGCACTGACTTCGAGGACAAGTGGATCCAGGGGTCTTATTTGGGGCCTGTTGAGACAGTCTCCCATGGTCATGTTGTTCGCACCGTGCAGGGCAATGTTTGGTACACAACAAATGTCCGTCGCCTACCCGAACTACCTCCGTACGAAGATGAAGGTGATGACTGGCATCCTGAACGACGCGTGGTTGGAAAAACACCGCCTGTGGTGCGAGTCTTTAGGGCCGACGAGGGTGGCGAGGATGGCAACGTCTTTTGCATGAGCAGATTGGTGGAACCAGTGTCGACAACTACTGACGCTGTTCCGGATAATGAAACCACTGAAGGTTGGATGGAGTCCGCTGGAGGTGAAGACGCTGGTGACGATATGGATGAGTCCCAGTGGTTGGTGGAGGACCAAGAGGGTGAGATGGATGGCCGCTATTGGTCTCGCTGTGTGCTAGATGAGGAACACAACTTACGACGATGTGTGCCGGAGGACTATCAAGAACTGTTTGAGGGTGTGAACCAGGCGACGTTGGAAGCTGAAAGGGCTTTGGAGCAAAGGGAGTCGCAGAAGGTTTACAAGACCTACTCGGTTGGGGATTGGTTCCGGCTATGTCGCTTTGTGGAGGATGATGACGGGAAACATGGTGTCGAGCCTGTCTTGGAGAACCTTGAAGGTCCTCTTCAGGTCGTATACACTGTACAGCTTGACGAGGTGAAGCAATTCCTTCCGCGGTGGAAGGAGGCCATTGGAAAGGAGATGAAGGCTCTGCTGGATGCGGGAGCCTTGGTTCCCCTCACGGAGGAGGAGCATCGTCGTCTTGAGAGGGCGGGAGTGTTATCTATACTTCCGGCTAAAGGAGTCTTCACGGCAAAACCTCCAGACAATCCTGAGCTGCTTGATGATCCTGGAAGAGAGTTGGTGAAGGGGTCGCCTTCATTCTTCAAAAGAAAGGCTCGTCTTGTCATATGTGGCAACTTCGAGGGAAGGAGTCAGAAGGAAGACAGCTATGCAGGGGGATGTCAAGGGGAGTCCTTGAGGGCGATGATTGTTCATGCCGCACACAAACGAGGTGGATCACGTCCTTGGAAGGCAGCAGGAACAGACATCAGGAATGCCTTCATCTTGGCCCCGATGGACGATGGCGAGGGGGTGCATTGCCTTTACCCTCCCAAGGTGTTCCAGGCGGCGGAAATACCGTTTGCGAAGTGCTTATTTCGGGTGGACCGAGCTCTTTATGGCTTTAGGCGCTCTCCGAAGCTGTGGAGTACCTTCCGGGACAACAGACTGAGGCGAGCTCGATTCAAGGTGGGAGAGCTGGATGCCTTCCTCAGACAGCACAGGGCGGATGAGAATGTTTGGAGTGTGGTGGTCATGACGCCTGGCCCAGATGGAACGATGCAGGAAGAAGTTCGGGCATTCGTCAACGTTTATGTTGACGACATCTTGTATCTGGGTGAGGAGGAGGTCGTTGCGGCTACTCATGGGTGGATCACACAAGAATGGAAGGCCTCGGATTTGACATGGGCATCCATGGAACAGCCAGTTCGTTTCCTGGGGCTAGAGATCTACGAGACGCTCAACGGCTTCAAGATCGGGCAGACTGGCTACATATCTGAGGTACTTCGACACTATGATGTTCAGGGGCATGGTCACGGGACGCCATGTCCTCAGTCATGGCTGCTGGGGGAGGTGAACTTTGATGAGAAGCAGTACGACGAGCAGACCTTGAGGCGTGCTCAGAAAATCACTGGCGAACTTCTCTGGCTTTCAACAAAGGGCCGGCCAGACTTGATACACACAGTTGCCACCATGAGCAGTCTGTGCGTGAGGGACCCTGAGACTGTGGAGCGCATCGGCATGAGAACCTTGGGCTACTTGAAGGCGACGGCCGATTGGTTCTTGTTCTACGAGCCGACAACCCACAACCATGATGTGGAGGGTTACAGTGATGCCAGCTTCGCCCCCCAAGGGGGGCGGAGCATCGGTTGCTCGCTGGCTTGCTATCTGGGGTGCCCCATATCTTGGCGATGTGGGAGACAACCACTGGTTTCTCTGTCTGTTGCCGAGGCAGAGCTCATAGAGGCTGTCAATGCCATCCAGATGGTCTATGGACTCTCATCTTTTACCTCCGAAATCAGGCCGGACCCTCCTCGCCTGGGACTTTACGTCGACAATCAGGCTGCTGTAGGACTGTGTTCCGAGGCAGCTGGAACTTGGAAAACTCGTCACCTACGAGTTCGTGCCTTTCATCTTCGTGAGGCGGTGCGTCTCAAGGAGATTACCCTTCGACATATCCCTGGTGTTTCTCAATTAGGAGACTTAGGTACAAAGGCCTTCTCGAAGCCAAGACTCCTGGAGCTTTGCCGTATGTGGGGATTGGGAACAACTTCGCCAAGAGAGCAGCAGCCGGGACCAGCAACAGGCAGCACTGCAGCAACGGCACACACTACAACACCGGGGGTGGTTGGGGTGATAGCTAGATTGGTGTTGCTTTTGGGTTGGTTGGTTCAGGGTACTCGTGGAGCCTCGACAAAGCGAAGTTCGAATGTTCCTGCTGAGGATGTTGGAGGGATACAAATCAGTGTTGCTTGGGAGTTTTATGCGCTGGTTTTTGTCAGCTTGGTGGCTGCGATTGGTGCATGGGAGGCGATCAAGTGGCTGTTCGAGTGGTACGCTCTGAAGAGGGATTGTTCAGTCTCGGAGGCAAGGAATGCTCGGCGGCTACGGCGACTGCAACAGGCTGTGCAGCAGGAGCTGGGTTCGTATGGTTTGGGACAGAATGGCCCTATGACACCTGAGCTAGCTCCAAGGCACAGCCCTGCATCCGCTCCAGAAGGGCGCGGTCCGGTTCCCTCGCTGGATAGGTCGGCCTCTTCTTGGGAAGAACCGCCACCTCCTGTACGTCAGACGCGGCGAAGGACACGAGATGCCAACACTCAGACCCCTCGTGAAGCTTATGTGAAGTTTCGGGGCCCCTTCTTTGCATCTCAGCGGGGAGATCACGTCCACCTTTACGGAGATTGTCAAGGCCTGAAGAGCGCCTACACGAACATCGATGCAAAGGGCATGTGTGCCTACTGCGACGGTCGAAAATCTCTGTATGAGCTGGTGGGCTGAATCTGTGCTGAGAACAGCCCAAGGAGGAGTGTTGGGATAAGGGAAGCCTCTGAGAAGGCTGAAGTGGAGAAGGGCACCATGCCTTTGTGTGCAGGATGTTCTGCATATGTAAGCATTGCTACAGCACAGGTGTGCAGGACGTTCAGCATATGTAAGCATTGCTTCGGCACAGGCGAGAGCAGAGCTCCGCATATGTAAGCATTGCGACTGGATTTTGGCTCAAGGCTCAAGCATGAAAAAGTGCGTGCCTGGATTGGGGTGTGAGGGTTTTGGGGGGTGTTTCCCGGGTGGTTCCTCTAGCTTAGGCTGGTCTAGCCTCTTCCGGACCCCCCCTAGCCCGGTGGTCCCCGTCCAGGGTTTTTTCCGTCTTGAGGGTTTGGTTGAAGCTGGGGCTTTCTGGGTGTAGTCCTGGTTTCCCTTAGATCCCTCTTTTCGATGGCCGCTCCTGCGCCCTCCGCCCCTGGTCCTCACGAGGACCAAGGGAGGCCTAAGGATCCCTTCGGCGTCTTGCTTCTAAAAACCCTGTACGAGGACTTGTGCTTTTTTCTTTTGAGGGAGTTTTCTCCCCCTTTGCCTCGACTCCAGGAGCGCATGAGCTGATAGAGCCCGATGGCCATCCGGGGCGCCTGGGCGCGGGCGCTCCGCATCGCGCGACGCGCGGCCTCCCGGCGCTGTGACAGAGGCGCCACGTGGGAGTCGGTGTCGATGTAGTCGGCGTAGAACATGTCGAGGGTTCCTTCGCATCCTGGGCAGGCGCAGTGCAGGCAGAGGAAGGAAGTCCAGGAGGTTGGAGGAATGCCCTGGGCGAGGAGCTGCTGCGCTGCGGAGGCCTGGCCACACGCGATGGCCAGGTCCAGTAAGGAAAGGCCACAGGATGGAGGCAGTGTGCCGCACGCCAGAAGAAGCACCAGCTTGTCCAATGGCAGCTTTGCTGCCAATGCCGTGCTGAGCCGGTCAGGACAGAGCTTCCACTGTAGCCCGTCCTCCACAAGCAGAAGAATCTGAGACAAGTGGTTGCGTGGTCCCAACTCCCAAGAGCTCGGAGGCCCAAGGTGGGGTTCAAGCTGCCGCCATAATTGCATGTTACCGCACAGCGCCACAGCGGCATCCCAAAAACCTGTTGGGTGGTTTAGGGTTGTAGGATTGTAGGGTTTAGGACTTAGGACTGCTCAAAGCCTTAAGTGAGCCCTGTCCTAAACCGCGGTAGGATCCGAACATATGGGGGGGGGGGCAGGGGGAGAAGCTTCGAACTGTAAAAAACCCTGAAGAACCCCTCAGCTCAAGGCTTAACTTCTAATATCATTCCTTCCCGATTATATCCCCCCCCTCCCAATTTTGAACAAACCCCCCACCAGCTCCCCCCAATTGCAGTATCGTTGCTGTCACAATAAACTTGGGGGGAGTATTAGGGGAGGTTGGGCGGGGTTGAGCGGGGCCAATAGTAAGGGGGAGGGGATTAGTCCAAGACCAGATGTGCAAACTTAGCAGCCTTAGGACCCTCCACATAGAAAGCTTCCGCATCTGCATAGTCAGGCTCCCGGCAGGTTTTGCCTTGACCTGCTTGACTTCCTTCAGTTCAAGTCTCCCCCAGCAATTCAGCCAGCCGGGGGCACCCAGTCCAGGATCATGTGGACCAAGCCAAGCGAGACTTGTCTGCCTGGGTTGCTGAGCCTATAGGAGGCCTAAGGATCCCTTCGGCGTCTTGCTTCTAAAAACCCTGTACGAGGACTTGTGCTTTTTTCTTTTGAGGGAGTTTTCTCCCCCTTTGCCTCGACTCCAGGAGCGCATGAGCTGATAGAGCCCAATGGCCATCCGGGGCGCCTGGGCGCGGGCGCTCCGCATCGCGCGACGCGCGGCCTCCCGGCGCTGTGGCAGAGGCGCCACGTGGGAGTCGGTGTCGATGTAGTCGGCGTAGAACATGTCGAGGGTTCCTTCGCATCCTGGGCAGGCGCAGTGCAGGCAGAGGAAGGAAGTCCAGGAGGTTGGAGGAATGCCCTGGGCGAGGAGCTGCTGCGCTGCGGAGGCCTGGCCACACGCGATGGCCAGGTCCAGTAAGGAAAGGCCACAGGATGGAGGCAGTGTGCCGCACGCCAGAAGAAGCACCAGCTTGTCCAATGGCAGCTTTGCTGCCAATGCCGTGCTGAGCCGGTCAGGACAGAGCTTCCACTGTAGCCCGTCCTCCACAAGCAGAAGAATCTGAGACAAGTGGTTGCGTGGTCCCAACTCCCAAGAGCTCGGAGGCCCAAGGTGGGGTTCAAGCTGCCGCCATAATTGCATGTTACCGCACAGCGCCACAGCCTCTCTGAACGGAATCAGGCAGTCTGCAGGGAGGAGCTGCCCAAAGTAAGTGTAGTGAAGACCTTGGAATGTCAAGCCTGATGTGATGGCTGCCGTCAATACCTCAGGCGCCGCAGCCGCAATGCACCAACCCTGCCCCCGCAGCATTTTGAAGAGATCTTGGGCCTGCCACCGTCGGAGTGGCAAGCGGCACTGCTGAGAGCAGCGCCGGGCCAGTGCTGCGTCACCTGTGAGGATGGCAAGGTCCCAAAGCCTTGCCATGGCCTCTTCCGTGACATGTTCTGCAAGGACTGCTCGGAAAGTAGTGCCCCAAGCATGTGGGCCACCGGCTGCTCCATTGCCTGCTTGGCGCAATCGCACGCAGCCGCAAGCCCAGCTGCCCAGTCTTTCATCCACACACCAGATGCCGGATCCCCACCAAAACAGCAGCAACTACACGTCCACCATGAGCTGCCACAGCCACAGCCAAATGCACCTCTGACTGGTCCCCAACGAGCAAATGGCCCCAAGTGCTCGGCTTCTACCACACAGCCCGGAACACCGCGCCGGAGGAGCTCTACCGCAGTATCTTGCTTTCCAAACTTTATGCACCAGCTGAACAAGTGCTGCGACTCGACCTCCTGAGCAAGGACCCGGATGTCTCCCGCCAGGAGCGCTTGTGCAATCTGGAACTCGTTGACATCTACAACCTTCTGCTCGGTGTTGAATCGCACAAACTGCCACGACTCCATGGCATTCGGGCTTCGGGCGTGACTGTGACCACCACAGCTTCCAGCACAGCGAAGTGTTCTGTTGCGGTCGAAACGGCAGCACCGAGTCCGGCCTAAACGGATATATGCCACCATGCAATCCTCTCAACATTAGAAAACTTGTGTCACAGCAGGCCCCGCTACAATTATTGGTTGCCCTGCTGGAACACAGGAACACTCTTGTTCTGCCAAGGCTTTTTGTCCATTGCTACTTGTGCAATGAAATCCGTCCCTGCTTTGGCACCCCCTTCAACCCTGAAGAGTACATGTTCTGTCAGAACAAAAGGGGACTTAAGGACCCAAGTGAAGGAAATCTTGGGGAGAAGCCAGGCTTCGGGCAGTGGCTTCTTGACGTATCTGCATGGGCGCAAGCCTTGGTGGTGTTGGGGGATGTATAGGGTTTAGGGTTGCTTTGAGCTCAACTCGGGAAGATCCGGTTTAAGGCCAGGAACGAGAATTGGAGATTGCTTGGGGCGCCTAACGCCCAAAACGCTTGAAAAAGAGCGCCCCCCCCCGCCCCCCCAAGTCCTTGAGCTCCGACAGCCTCGAGACGCCTTCCGAAAGAGTTGAACCGAACTCGAAAAACGACACCGAAGCTTCCAACATGTCTCGACATTGCCCTCTGGAGCCCGAACTCTGAGCTTTGGTCCAGGGAGTCGCCCACAGCTTGCGGTGCTCTGCAGGCATCGCCACCAAATCCACAAGTGGGGGTTTACGATAACAAGGGACCCCAAATATAGACCCCCAAATAGTAGGATCCCGTGATCATAAGGACCCTAATAAGGTACCGCTAATATCGTAAGCTCTGAAATGATGAGGGGCAGCTTAGTTGCAGTTAGCTGGTGCCACAAGGTTTCATCAACTGCCATGACTGCAGGGGGAGAGCCTGAGTCTGTCTTCAACTAGGTGGAAGAGCTTGAAGCATGCTAGGTTGTGCTCAAGCTTCCAAAAACATGGGCAAATTCAAGCCAACAGCTCTTGAGGCAATCAGGCATTTCCCTGCACCAGTAACGTAGACTTGGGCAGAGATTTCCGCAAGCCAGCAGCCGAGGAAGCAGATATGCAATGCCAATGTCTGCCTCGGAAGCATACTACCAATATCATGAGAAGAGAAGATGCTACCCAGTTCGCACCTATGTGCGCGTCTCTGCGCGTCTCTGCGCGTCTCTGCGCGCGCGCACGGGTGTGTGTGTGTGTGTGTGTGTGTGTGTGTGTGTGTGTGTGTATGTGTGTGTGTGTGTGTGTGTGTGTGTGTGTGTGTGTGTGTGTGTGTGTGTGTCTGTGTGTGTGTGTCTGTGTGTCTGTGTGTGTGTCTGTGTGTCTGTGTGTCTGTGTGTCTGTGTGTCTGTGTGTGTGTGTGTCTGTGTGTCTGTGTGTCTGTGTGTCTGTGTGTCTGTGTGTCTGTGTGTCTGTGTGTCTGTGTGTCGCGCGCGCATGCGTGTGCGTGTGCGAGGCTGCTGCAAGTGCTCTTTTCTGGCGGTTCGCAGATCAGGTAGACTGTGCATGGCTTTTGCGATGCAGGAGGTCGCACACGGTGGAGGGCCAAGGCCACAGATGCTGCACAAAGCAGACGAGACCGGCACACAAGCAGGAATCGGAATCGGGGCAGATTGAGAGCAGAGTGGGCGCACTTCTGGGCACCGTAGCTACGCACTTCTGGGCTGTTGTGCCTGTCCTGAGGTCGCAAGTGCAGCCTGTACAATGCTCAGCAGCCTTTCCAGCACCATGGCAGAGGATGTGTGTTGGCCCCTACTAGGCTCAACCTTTCAGAACGCAGGATATCATCCCTCTGAGCTGTACATTGCTTTGGGTCCCATGCATTGAGGCGTCTACCTACCTCAGGCTGCAGAGACAAAATGGATGTCTCTGGAATTTCTGGGTGCTCACGCTGATTCCCAAAGGACCCAACCACTGCAGCCGATCTGAAACTTGGGCCGGAGATCTTCGATGGCAAGGTAGCCCACCGCTTTCACGGAGCACATGACGAAGCTGACGCAACCCACGAGGAGCACGAAGAGCACCGCCAGCATTTCTGGCCGCTTGGAGCGAGACTCCTGGCTGGACTTTCCCGAATCCGCATCGCCCTCATCGCTCTCGCTGTCCCGGAGGAACTTCCAGTACAGCAACGCAGGGTAGATCTGGGTGACCCAAGGCGTAGTAAGTGCCGTGACGAAGTCCAGGAGCGTCCCGATGGAAGGTGTGAAGGTGGCCAGGATTAGGGCCAGGATGAAGGTCGGCAGCGTGTAGCCCAAATACCGCAGCACATCCGACACGGACCAGGTGTCCTTGAAGCTTGGCGCCCAGGCCCTTTGGCAGTACCGGCAGAGCGGCACCGAGTCCAGCATGTAGGAGACGAAGTTTCCAATCAGCTGAAAGAAGTTGAAGAGCGTGTTCACCCAAGTCCCCGGCACCCAGGCACTGACACCTGCTGTGATGGTGATGACTTCGCCGACCCCGAAGCCCCAGCGCGCCACCACGATACTGCCCACAACGAGGAAGATCAGAACGTTGAGGCCTCCGGCGAAAAGCAGCGACTTCTTGAACTCCGCCGGTTTCTCCATGCAGGCGCTGAGCTCCACAGTGAGGAAAGCAGGCACGTAAGCCCAGGCACTGACTGTGCAGCCGCTGGCCAGCCTCACCACCATGATTCCCAGGTCCGTCTCGGGGTTGCCGACCAAGTGTGCGGGAATCTTCTCGTCGATGTCGTACTGGAAGGCCGCCGCCAGCATGCACACGATCATGCCGAAGATACACACCAGGGAGATTTGCGTGAAGAAGTTGGCGTTGCTGAAGCTGCGAACCTGCGTCGTCAGCAAGCAGAGGATCGCCACGAGCCAGACGTAATAGTCCGTGCAGCCGCCGAGTGGGCCGATGCTTCCGATGCCCTGCAGGGCCTCGGCGCAGAAGCGCAGCGCGCAAGGCATGAAGAGGCAGAAGTTCCCCAGCTGAATCAGATTTCCGAAGACCATGCCAGCACGGCCGAAGACCTTGAAGCCCAAGTCTCCAAAGGTTTCAGAGTCCGGATAGCGCCTCTTGATCTGCAGCAGCATGTTCGAGCCAGCAATGGAGGCCCCGGTGATCACCATGCAGATCACAATGCCCCCGATGAAGCCGGCGTTGGCAATTGCGAAGGGCACAGCCATGACTGCTGAAGGCGCCGCAAAGGTGAAGAGGAGAATGCCTGCTTGTTGCCAGGTCATGATCGCGCCTTGCACTTCTTCCTTGGCCTGCTTCTGTGGACTGTCCATGGCAAACCGTATAGGACAGGGGACAAAATCAGTGGCTGCTTTTTTGAGTCTTTGGAGCTTGAGCTCAATCCACGAGATGATCTTTGCAGACCTTCCCTGCCTGCCTCTCCTGACGGCCTACCCGCACCCTGGTGGACCTTTCTGCAGTGTACTCCATCGTGCTATTGGAGGGCGCTGGCTCCACTCTCGCACTGACCTCCTCGAGATTCCTTTCGTGTGCGCACCGCGCCCGGCCCTGTACCTTCCCCGACCCCCCTTTTGTGCCTCCCCGGGTACACCTCTGTGAACACTTGGTTCCTCATTGGTTTTTCTGCAGTGGCTCGGCCATCTGATCCTTCTCTTCTGGGCACTTCACACCGAAAGAAAAGGACTTACCCTTAGATCGTATTGCACGTCAGATTTTCGCTTAGACTTTTGCGACCCCAGAAACACTCGTCTGACAGCGTGGGGGGTTGAGGACAATGCCGTATCACTTCGTTTGTTCAGTCGGACAGGTCTCTTTTCAGCCAAGGGCCAAGAGTACTGCAACACCTTGCTCCAGGCCGGAGACTAAGTTGCAACAGAGCTGCAGCCTCACATATGAGACAACAAACTCAGGCAGAAAACCTCAGACATGCTTCGCATTCACCTGGCTTCACTGGCAAGCGCAGGGTGTGCATCTGCCGGGCGGTGCGGTGGGAAAAGTACGACCCGGCAGCGGACGATCACCAGCCACCATAACGCGTCTGATAGCCTCCCCAGCATCTACGCGTAAACTCGTCAACCTCATCCACACACCCCCGCGCAAAGGGATGATCAGCTTAGCCCAATCGGGGCAGATCTTCCCAGAAAGTCTCGAAGACCAGTGGAAGATTAGTGGCTTTTAATGGCCAGAGGATCGTGGAAAACGAGGCTTGACCCTTCCTCTCCCTGTTCAGAAGATAGCTCAGCTAAGCTTGGTTGATTCCCACGCTAACAGCTAGCGGTGCTTTTCGTACGCATACCTGGGACGGGAAGCAACATGGCGATCGGTTTACAATGTAGTCTGCTAGCCCTCCGAAATTTGAAAGGAATCAGCCCGGTAGCAATCCAAATGGCCGGAAGCTAAAGGATCTCTAACTCACAAGGGCATGCGCGCAGGAATCTCAATGGCGTGCGCCAGACTTTCGATTCCAGGCATGACCATCCTCCAGCAGGCGATCTGACCTCTGACCATCTAAGTGGCGGCCTTCTTCACAAAGAAAGCGCTCGCCCTCTTCCGTTGCGCTGCTAAGGAGCATCCTCTGAACCATATCCGTGCTTGTAAGGGGCTGAAGCTTGGGTAGATGTTCCTCTCCTCTCTCTCTCTCTCTTTCTCTATCTCCCCCCTTCTCTCTGAACCCTACACCTATCCCATTCCTCACAAAACCTGGCTCTACAACAGGGCTGGTCGAGAAACTGAGTACTTCATGGCATTATCCGTCGCTCAAGAGAGTCATCACAACAGGCGAGGGAATCGAATTCAATGATTTGATGAGGACAAGGGATCAAAAAGACTTGAAAACGCAGGGCAAAAAACATTACCCTCCCCCCTTAAGGGCTGAACTAAGGGCCTGGAGCATTTGCCCTCCACACCGGGAAGCTTAAGGGGAGGCTTGCTGGAAGACTAAAGCGGGCTACGGGCTTTATGTGGGGAAGGGGGGGGGGGGGGGTAAGCTTGAAAAAGTGGAACTTAAGGGGATCGTTTTTTGTCATCATCCTCCGGTGACCAACTCTCTATTGGAAGTATGTTAAATCCCACTCCACTCGTTTCTGGCTATCATCATTCGATCGTAGCCAACTTCTCTCTGGAAGTGGAAAGCTTGGGATATCCCCCCTCGTTTGTGTCATCATTACTCGAGAACAAATCTCTTCGTGTTTCAAGTACATCCCACCGTGCTCGGTTTCTTGTCATCTTTGTTCGATAGACTTCTCTGTGGAAGTGGAAGGTGGCCTAAATCCCACCCTTCGATCTCGGTCGTCTTTCGAGAAGCAACTCTCTCTTTGGTGGGAAGGAAACTAGATTCCACCCCCCCCCCCCCCAGCCGCACACCCGATATGTTTGCCAGCTTCCCTTTGTTTGGATTTCAGTTGCCAGACTGGATCCCAGGCCTATGTATCGCTTGGTAAGCCCTCAAGATCTTCTTCAGGAATGATAACAAGACTTTAGGAACGAATCATGGCGCAAATACTTGCAACTCCCCCCTGGTCACGTGCTGGAGGCAGCTGGAAGCAGGCTTGACTGCACCGCTGGCAGGGGGAGCCTTACATTTTGCAGAGTCGGCCCAACACGAGGAATTCCTTCCTCACACGTTGTCCGCTAACTTCAAGCATCTTTTGTAGGAATTCCTCCTTCGTGAAGCCGAGCTCCTGCTGGCCGCCGCTCCCGACGGCCTTGCACAGGTACTCGCACGTGGCAGGACACATCTCGTGTTGAAAAGCAAGCTCCTTGAGAGTCACGCGCCCTGTGCTTCCGGCACTAGGGGTCATCATGTCAAAGGCATCATTCCACGAACTCCACTGCCGCTCTGTGACGGCGGGCTTGAGGAAACTTTGCCTTCTTGTGCCGCCACTACTGGCAAACGGAGCCTCCATCTGCGCGAGGGTCTCCTGAGGGCATGTGGCAACCTAAGGTTTGCTGATCGCGGCATCTGCATTCTTCAATGGTGCTACATTGAAGTTGGCCCTTGGCAATGGGAAACATGTTGCAAGATGCGCCCATACCTGTATGCATTGCCTAGCCAAGGGAACCCTCCGTGACATTTGCCGGGAGCTGGGCCGTTCTTCGTGTTCTACCCTAAACCCTGAACCCTAAACCTAAACCCTAAACCAGCCGAGGGCATATGCCTGGAGGTGATGCACTTGCAGGCGCAGGAACTCGCCCACCACGTGCTCGAGCTGCGCGTTGCTCTCCTTGGGCCGATACTCAGCGCCGCAGTGGGCGGCGATGTAGTCCTCCTTGGTCAACTCCTCCCTGCCTCGCAGCCTTGGCTGGACTTCTTAGAGGAGTACTAATTTTAAAAAGGAAGGGCTATAACATCATAACTTGGGATGTTCCCCCACTTATACTGGCAGTCCTGAGTATCCTGAGTAGGGAGTGTATATAGGGGGTTCTAGAATCCCCATTAAGGACTGGTTAGTCTAAGGGGGAACATCCCAAATCATGACCCATAAGAGGCAGAAGGGTCTTGAAAGGGCGGCTGACATGACTGTTGCGATAACTGAAAGCACCTTTTACACCTTCCTTTGAAGAGGTCCTGGAGAAAAAAGCTCTTGGCAATAAGCAGCTACGAAGCTGCCCCCCCCCCCCCCCCCCCCCCCCCCCACACACACTCTTAAAAAAGAACTGGGATGTTCTTCTTGTTCCTAAACCCTAAACCCTAAACCCTAAACCCTAAACCCTAAACCCTAAACCCTAAACCCCAAACCCTAAACCCTAAACCCTAAACCACCAAGGACCGATGAAGGATCTCGTCCTCTTTGACGAGGACTTCATCCTCTGGGCGAAACGCTCTGGAAGCCCTGAATGCTTCTGTCGGGTTTAGGGTTTAGGGTTTAGGGTTTAGGGTTTAGGGTTGCGGCACCCACTGGCATCCTTTAAAAGGGGTGAAATCGGGTTGCAGCAGGAGTCCTGCTTCCTAAGCTGACCCTGAATCTCCTGAGACATCTTCCTGAATAAGATCCTCTAGAAAACCCCATCACATCAGGAAAACCAACAATGTCCTAATCAAGTCCTGCCAAGGTCGAAACATGCTTTACTATGGAAGTTAGGAGGCTTTTTGTCTGCCAGCCAGGGGGTTCGGGGACGTGGTAGCCTTAGGGGTTTACTAGGGTTTAGGGTTTTGGTCTCAGGTTTCCGGAACTTTAGTCGGGGGCTGCCTGAGCTACCCTAAACCCGAAAAGCACAAGGAGTCTTCCTGGGCCAGGAACCCTAAACCTCGCGCCAGCAACCTTTCGTGGCCCCGTCTTGTTGGGGGCTGCATCAGGGTGTCTACGCTGTTGGAAGGTGCCCGGCTCAAAAGCCTGGCGATTCAACGGTGAGGTTTGGGCCTATTCCTTGCGCTTGGATTCCCTCAACGTCGCAAGCATGCTCCATAGCTCTGCAGGCCGCCGATGCTGTGCATTGCGATCCTGCCCCGCCAGTGATGCTGTACATGCCCTCGCAAGCATCCAGGGGCTGGTCAGAACACGTGACATTCTCCTTAGCAGCCCAGTCACCATATTTTGATAAGGGCAATGTTGGACCCGATTTAGTAAAGTGGGGCGCTATGAAGCGTTTTTCCCGAAAACTTATGGGGTCCCCCCCCATTGATGAGGGCGCGGTCCACAGCTATGCGATGTTTCCCGGCCGAGGCTCCCAATTCGGGGGGAAAAAAGGTTTTTTCATGTTTTTTCACCTCAGAAAAAAGAAGGCCTGTTTCTTTCGTCTCCGCCGAGAAGTCGTTAGGTCTGTGTCCTCAGGCCCCAAGTGCCTCTCAGGCACCTACAAACACTGCCCCAACCCAGATTCTAGAGGATCTAAAGCCCCAGAATTGTTTGGGGGGGGGGGGGGAGGGCCTGGGATACCAAAGCGAGTCCAACATTACCCCTTTTTGGTTGCTCACTTTATGAAGGGAGCCCGCTACAACCCGCTGAACGAGCCAAAAAAAGGGTGAAAAAGGGTACCACATGGGCTACCGAGCCTCTGGCAGCGCCGTGCCATTGCAGGCGCTCGAAAAGACAAGCCTCTCCGGATCCCCAACGTAGATCTTCACATTCCGGATGTCTCCCTTGAAGCCTTGGCCGCCAATGAAAATCATGTCGATGGGCCTTAGGACGAAGTCGGCAGCTGAAAGGCCCGCAGGTATGGAAGCTGTGGCCGTCTCTCCATCAACGATGAGAGAGGCACTCCTACTGCTTTTCACCATCTCAACCTCGTGCCAGATGCCATCATCAAGCCGCTTGCCGGAAATCAATGTGCCTTCGGAAATGTCCAGGCCGCGCCCACGTGGGCCGACTTCCGCTGCCGACTGGCAGTAAAAGGTCATTTTGCCCTGATCGGCGTCGTAGGGCGGTCCAAGACCATGGGACGTGAACACTATGCTAGTTGCAGAGGCGTAGTCTGCGGGCACCCTGCCCGTGATGATACCCGGATACTTCGCGCACATGTCGAAGAACTTGACTTGAACCTTGATGCGGAAAGACTTGACAAGGTCATCCGCGAACTCGCTTGCATCGATGTCGCGGCGAGTAAAGGACCCCTGATCCAGCCAACAATTTGGCGCTTCCGGCTCGCAACCAAGGAGCACAACGCAGGCAGCAAACGCAGCAGAGGCCCCTGCCAGCCATTGCCATGACTTTGCCATGGCTCGGACGAAGTACTGTGCGTTGATGCTGAGGCTTCACAGCACTACAACCCGAGTAGGCTTCTTTTCTATGTGGAGCTGGTGCATACCGTCCATTTCTACACGTGCCACTGACCATCCAGTTTCGGGGGGGCCTGGGTGGGTGCTAGCGCCGGCACTGTGCAAGCAATGCAAACACCTCACAAAAACACAAATGGGGGTTTCCGAACATAGGGGTGCCCTTTTCTGGGGTTCCTTTCAAAAGGATTAAAGTCTTTTCGGGCATGGTACCCCTATTTTGAGTTCAGAGGTGGTTCAGTGTGGAAAATGGTAGTAGGATTCGAGAGAACTTCTCATGTGAACTTAGACTGTGCGCGACGCTGCGCGACGATGCCCAAACCGGCACCAGATGAACGATTCAACAAGAAGCGACATGCCGGAAATCTTCAACTCAACCAGAAATGGGGGTTGCTAGCCACGCTTCCTGCCTGAAAGTCGTACCTCAAGCATGCCAGTTGGACGCTCCCTGCGTCAGAGTTTACAATCACCTGAAATAGAAAGTTGTACCTGCAGCGACAACTAGGTCCCTGCTTGAAAGCTCCACTTCTAGCAGAGAAGGGTGCACTGTGCCTTCAAGACTCTTGCTACATCTCTCTATTCCTTTCTTCGCCATCTTTGCCTCGCTTTCTCATGCTCCCCTTCTTCAAAAGCGCAGAAAACCACACAATACCACGAGAGAACGGCTCTCTTCTTTCTCCCCCCCTTTCTTCCCGAAAGGACCGGGCATGGCACTCGACGAGAAACTTTTTTTGCGTGAGAGAATCCTATCTGACCCCCTCCTCATGAGCCACCATTTGCATGAGTTTGCCCCCCCCCAAGAGTCCTGAAGCCCCTCAAGAAAAACTCAAGGGGTCCTCGACGTTGCCACTCGCAAGGGCCGAGAACTGCTCCTCTAGCTTCGCCCTGCGCACCGCGTGGAGCGCGCTGCGAGAGACGTAGTTCTCGAAGCGGTCCTTCTCAAATCGGGAGGTTGCGGACTGCTTCTTGAGCTGCTCAATTTCATCCAGCTCTTGGAGCCAGGACAGGAACATACGGTGGTGTCGTCCTTGTGCGTGCGGCATGGCAGCCTTCAAGAAGTCTAGGAAAGTCACACTTTGCCTGTCCTGGCGCATGGACTCCGATTGCTCCAAGCCTCGAGCCGCGAAGTTGCACCAAAGGTCTGGGTGGATTGATGTTTTCAGGGCCCTCTCGGCCTCCCAGTGGGAGAAGGAATAGCAGCACTCCTTCTTACAGAAATCGAAAATTCTCTTGAGCATTCCAATCTGGTCACGCCGGATGAAGCTCGAGTCCAAGGAACTGGCCGCCTCCACCGGATGCGCTACGCGCCTCTTGTGCGTCATCTTGAACTTCCTGTCCTCATCCTCATACTTCTCGGGATCCTCACTCGAGCCCTCGGAATAGCGCTCGAAGAGGAGTGCGAAAGGCAGTGCCAGGGGATCACCTGACAGGGCCAAGGAGCGCATTAAAACACCCCTTCATAGGTTTCAACTTCTATGGGGATGTTTCCAATGTTTCCAAGGTCAGGAGTTAGAGGCAGCTGTGGGATCTGCAGCAAGAGGCGAAAAGTCTCATGTCACTCAAGTCTCAAGCAAATTGGCACTGAGGCCCAAAGTTCGAACGCGCCTGAATCTCCAAGGAACCATTCCTGAGTTGCTCTTCGGGAACCGGCAGACCCCCCACACAACCACAAGTAGTGTTAGAAGTTGTAGTACTAGTCGACGGTCGTAGGGTCCAAGTAGAAGTCATCGCACTAGTCCTGTCCTATTGTTGGAAGAAGTGTGTGGTGTCGAAGTCTTGAATTGCTCCGTGCGCATTCTTCGCGGCCACGTGGGAATCAGAGGTGCCCCGACAACCCCCCTGATTCTCCACTCCTACAGGCCCTACAGCCCCTCTGCGCGCGCCGGGCCAGGATGAGGCGGGCGGCGCGCAGCGTTTACGATTTATGTTGACTCACATGCTGTCGTCATTGCTCTTCGTGTTGCTGGCTGCTTCTGCTGCGACTGCTGCTGCTGCTGCTGCTGCTGCTGCTGCTGCTGCTGCTGCTGCTGCTGCTGCTGCTGCTGCTGCTGCTGCTGCTGCTGCCGCCGCAGCCGCAGCCGCAGCCGCAGCCGCTGCCGCTGCCGCTGCCGCGGCCGCCGCCGGCGATGCGGCGGCTGCTGCTGCTGCTGCTGCTGCTGCTGCTGCTGCTGCCGCTGCCGCTGCCGCTGCCGCGGCCGCCGCCGGCGATGCGGCGGCTGCTGCTGCTGCTGCTGCTGCCGCTGCCGCTGCCGCTGCACGGATGCCTAAATCGCCAGCACGATGGAAACGACTGCCCACTAGCGCGCGAAGTACTAACAATTCTGTATGCTAACGAACAAATAGAGATTGGCTCCCAAGCACCTTATTGGGTTCCTGCCAGCTGATGATGGAAGAGGTTGGCCCTCTCAACTTCTCCTGAGTCTCCTGACCAAAACACCCCATAATTCAGGCCCAGAATCCTCAAGTAGACTGAAGGGCATGCAGCCAGAGGACTTAATCTTCTTCGCCTGCATCGATATCTTGCAGGACACCCCGCCCCCACAAACTCCCCAAATGTTCGCCAAAAGGCGCCAAAAACCCCCTTAAAAACTGAACCCTAAACCCTCTACAACATGGGACCACTGCACACCCTGCCCCAAAAAAACCTCCTGCGCCGGGAGCTTGCAGCAGGACATCGTTTGAATGCGATCGAAGAGAAGATTCCCTGTCCACTGGCGTCTGGTGGACTTGGGGACGGAGGTGCCTTCCAGCAAGAAGGCCGGGGAGACAAGAGTTTCTTCAGCTGCAAAAAGAGCTGGGTGGGTTTCGGAGTACTCAGGATTTCGGGGCGTTTTTTAAGTGTAGGGGTTGTTCTTTCCCCCCCGAGGAACCGAGCACAGTGCCCAAGCCCAACAAGAAGGAGGACATCAGCTCCACAAACTCGCTCCGGTCGAACGTCTCCGAGTCATCCTCATCGAAGACCCCCAGGATGAAGCGGAGCTTCCTTGAACGGCAATCGGGTGTAGGGTTTAGGCTTTAGGCTTTAGGGTTTAGGAATAAACGTGCTTGCAGCAAACAAAGCCGGGGGGGGGGGGGGGTTGTTCACGCCTGTAAGCGCCTCTATGCGTCTAATCCTGTGGCTATTTGAGGTACATGCGACCCTTCGACGCGTTTAGAGGCTTGGCGCGTTTAGGTGCCGACTGGCGAGAAGTGGTCCCGTTTTGCTCTGAAGCGGTTTATGGTCCTAATGCTTGTAAGGGAAGGCGTTAGGCTCTAAGTGGTAAACTTTTATGGTTTAGGGGTTGAGGTTTACTGCAAAGGCTCAAGGTTTGGGTTCAGGCTGTTTAGGGTTTTGAAGGAATGCCCAACCCTCCAACCCGAAAAACCCAAGCATGAACGCTGTCACAACTACTGTTGCTGCTGGACATCCCACATGGCCATGCTTCACCTAAGCCCTAAGCTGCTCTCCATGATAATTCTCAGGGCGCTCAGGGAGTACTGCTAAAGTACTTGGCCTTGTGCAAGACTTGTCCAGCATCAACCGTAACCATCAGACCTGGTTGCTGCTTCTTCGCGATCTTGGTGGCCAGAAGGATGGCGGAGGTCAGAAACGCCCCTGGGCTGATCCTCACCTCAAACGAACCCAAAAAACTCCGGTACGCTCGGGTTGTTGGGAGGGCGCAACAACAGGACTGGTTGCCACAGATAGATAGATTTAGATAGTCCTTGTCAGAGAAACCCAGCTCTTTCAAGACACTAAAAAAGAAGTGTCTCAATCAGAGAGCAGGGCCACAGTTGCCCTCGGGAAAAAAAAACAGAAAGCATCCGCAGAGAGAGAGGGAGAGAGAGAAAGAGAAAAAAAACGACTGTAACAGAGAGAGGAAACACACACACACACACACACACACACGCACGCACGCACGCACGCACGCACGCACGCACGCACGCACGCACAGACAGACAGACAGACAGACAGACAGACAGACAGACAAACGCAAGGAAGGGCGAGAGCAGAACCAAATAATAGCTGCTGTATTCAGCCTCCGTGTTTGCTGACTTTTGTCGGCTCTGTACGGACTGTTTTGTTGAACGTCCGTCACGATTTGCTGAATCCCACTCCTCTCCACCGTCAAACCTGAGTTCAAGCTTGAGCAATGATAATAAGTGAGCTCAAGTCACACTCTGGTACGCCATCGTGGACTTTGTCGCCTCGAGCCGGGAGTATGACGGAGGATCGAAGATCTTGACCCACTGCAGGACTTTCCTTACTCTGATGCTGAGCTCGAGGAGTGATCCGGGTGCAATGGTTGGGTAAGGAACAGCTACTCAGAAATACTTTGCATATAAATAGATTGCCACTCCAAGTTTCGCCATAGGAGCGGCGATGAAGTCTCGAAATTCAGAGGCATCCATCAGCTTGGGCGCACACCCGGGAATCCAGCCGCCGGCCCCCTGCCATCGATTAAAGAGATCGACCCAGTAGCCGATGGCGCGGTGTGATATGGAGGAACAAACCTCCGGGGGCGACTTGGACAGCACGGGAAGCCACAACTCCTCCATCCAATGGCAATCGGGCTCCTCATCAAGGATCTTGGCCATCAGGTCCGCAATGGAGTCTTCTCGATGCCCTCACAATTGTTTTTTAATGTGCCCTTTCTAGCTTGCGCCACCCCACAAAAATCACCTCAACCACAGACAACATTTCATTCAATAGCATACGTGTGTTCAAATTGTTCTTTTGCTCAAAGGAGAAGCCTCGCGGCGAGGCCGGGGACGTACTTTCCTGGCTCAGCGCGGGACCTCTCCGACGGAAATCCCAGCGCTGAACTCCTGGCAGCCGATCTGACTTGGCTTTCTGAACCTCCTCTTCCTCAAGGCCCTTGCTGGCCGAGTCGTGCCCATCGTTCCTGTCCCTATATGGCCGAGCGGTTGCTGGCAAGACCAGAGTGTGGGAAGGCCGCTTCCTTGGCGACAAGGGAGCACTTCCCGGAGGTCGCTGTGGCGTTGGGGTCCCAGGATTTCCAGGATTCCTGGGGCTTCTGGGGCTCCCAAAACTCCCGAGGTTCCAGGACTGCGTGCCATCCTCAGCTCTCAGACTCTCAGAGAGGGGACTCTGAGAAGTTGAAGAGAACATGTGTGTGTGTGTGTGTTTTTTCGTCTCCCACTTTTTTGGAACTACAGGAAAGAAAAGGAGGACAAAAAGAAAGGGAGGAACAACAAAAAAAAAACGACAGCTATCTCCTAACTGACCATCCCCAGTCTCGCTGTGGAGGGCGCTGGGCTCCGAGGCTCGACGTGCCACCGACCTTCCTGCGGTTAACTTCTCAAGCTGCCAAGATTTCAGGTCCTCACTCGCCAGGCCAAGGTCGCTGAGTTTGCTGATGTCTCCGACCAGGCTTGAAATTGTCAGCTTGGATGGGCGATTTCTTGCCCCTGCCTCCTGCGAATTGCTTTGGCAAGCTTTGCATGGGGTTTAGGCTGTATTCTGTCTACCTTAGTCCTGCCGCAACACTGGACACACCAACGCAAGAATCTTTCCCACAGCTACTCAAATCTCCCGTGGCTGGCCTAAGTATACTAATTCATAGCTCGCACCTCGAATCAAATTTGTCACTCACACACGCTCTTATCTCCATTTGCCTCGTTTAACCTTGTACTTCAGTTCCGGCCTGCACAAAAATCCCGCTCTCCTCGCTCACTTGAGTTCAAAGAGGTTTAGAGTGACGCTTCGGGCTTAAACTTACATGGGCGTGAACATGGAGATGCCAACACATCATGCGCCCAAAAAGTCTGTTGTTGGCCTTCCAACCCCCCCCCCCCCTTTATCCGTGCAGCAATATGCATTTCAGCGACCTCAGACATCTCAAGCCCCGAGCACATAGAAGGAGGAACCCCCTCCCCCTCTCACCCGAAAGGGGGTGAGGTCGGCCTGCCCCTCGGGTTGTGGCTTGGGATCCCGACTAGAGAACCACTCTCACCAGAACATGCGGGGGAAGACTCCTCAGGGTTCAAAGACAAGTCCCATTAGAGAATCCTCTGAGGAGAAATCGTAGCAGAGCAATCCTCCTCCTCGCGCTTCGGGCAAACAGCATCCGGCTTTCCTGCATCAAGCTTCTTGGCTCTCCAACCCGGCTCTTGCACTGCATTCGGTCTAGACATCAAGCTTCAAGAAGGTGCGCGGGGGAGGGGCGGGGGTCTGAACTTAATGTTGCTGTAGCTATTGCCAGTGTTTCCTTATCTTTGGCAAAGTTCAAGACACGTTCGTGTGACCTACGCAAGTCCTGTGACATTGGTACGCTGCAGGTAGTTCGGAATAGGTGTTGTCATCGTTGCACTCATCTGAACACGCACACAACGGCAAGACAAAACAACCACCGTGGCAGATCGTGTGCTGCACTTGTGGGCTCATGGGCTTATTGAAACTTCGGGTTGGTATGATGGGGTTACATCAGTTTAGAACGTCAGGCTTGTGAGCCAGCCACACACACCATGCGCGAGCGCAGCCCTTCCTCAACGCATCCGTGCTCTTCATCGTCAGTAGCCTTGCTTCTATATTAGCTCTATTGACCTAAGCCCCGACATGCAAACCCTCCAAGCTTGAAATTGAAGCCCTCGCAATCCAACACAATCAAGCAATCCCGAATCTTGCCTCAAACCCCGAGTCTCACTTGAAATGCGATATGCACAAGAGGGCTTGCCTTGCCATGCGCGCAGAAGTCTGACCATGGTGCGGCAAGTCGAGTCAGACAACAGCTGCGGGCTTCGTTTCGTCTTGCTGTTACGATTGCTAAGAGTATGGCTCAAGCTATTGGGGCCCTTAAGAGGAACTGGCCCGCGCTCCTTTGGGAGGCCTCCGCCATTCTTCCTTTAACTCACGTTACGGCTAAAGGGCTGACCCTGCGCCCCATGCCATGATGGCGACGGCAGCAAAGTCACCCAGAGGGCCCACCTCTCCCCGCCCCAAAGGGGTTGCTCCAGCCCTGCCAGGATGGTGGTCCCTGAATAGTTCCGCTGCTGACCCATGCTTGCGGGGCAGTTGTATCTTTCAAAAACAAACTCGGAGTTTGGATAATCCTTCTCGGCCTCTCCGACCAGCATCTGGCTTCCTTCCCTTCGAACCTTCCCCCGCGCCACAACAACCGAACCTACCCTGGACGCTCCTGGGTAACCCAGTGGGAAAAATTAGACGCGACATGTTATTAATGATCCCAGAAACTTTTACTTATGTTCTACTAGGAACCCAGAAACAAAGAGGCAAAAGAGGACACCATTAAAGAACCTACCTCACAGTGGGGCCTCAAGAGTTGAATACTTGGAATCGAGTTTCGGGGTCTTTGAAAGCCCTAAACCCTAAACCCCCAATTGAACCCTTAAACCCTAAACCCTTCAGGAGCCCACAGGAAGAGGAATGCAACTGAGTGCTGGCCCCCCGCCATGCCCAGGTTGGAGTGTCATCAGACCAGCGCTCGATGTTTTTTGTGGTCAATGTCGGTTTAGGGCTTAGGGCAGAGGGTTTAGGGAATAGGGTTGAGGGAACAAGCTTTAGGGTATAAGGTTTAGGGTTTAGGGAAAAGGTTTTTGGGCTTAGAGATTAAGGCCCCCGATTAAGGCCCCCTGTTGGGGAGAGCCGTCTGAAAAGCGTGGAGTTACGACTAGATTTCAGGGTGGAGGGTATAATATGTTGCGGTTCAGGGCTTCAGGGTCTGGATAGCTAACGGGGTATCCTTGACTTTGATGCGGCTGCCTATCAACGCGTGCACAAGCCACCGTAAGGCCCTATGTTACCCTCTGCACACTCTGATTTGGACCCTTCCCTTGGACTGACGGAGGCTTTAGCATTCGAGTTCCAGGAACCGCACAATGTCCCCTCCCCAAGGAAAAAGCATGTAAATGTCGATTTGCAGAGAAGACTGCTGTAATGTGTACCTACGTGATCATCAACTAAAGCTCCAGGGTTTCTTCGGCAATCTTCTGAACAGCCGCTGATTTTCCTTGGACGCTCCTCGCCGATCTTTCCCCACGCCGCGCAGACTCGAATTCGATTGAACGAGGGCATAGGTCTCTGCGGGCCTCTGGGAGCAGGCATAAAGCCAAAATCGGGTCTGGCTAGACTACTGGTGTATGGTTTGGAAAGCGCTTTCACGATTGCGAACTGTTGACTACTGTCTCGACCACAAACTAAGTTAAACTAAGCACAGATACGCGTCGAGCCCTTGTATCTTGCAATTATACAAGGGTTATTCTGCCTATCTGTACAACCAAGCCTACATGGCCGAAACGGAACAACATAGTTGATATGCTGAAGCTGGATGGTAGCCAAAGTGCTGGAGTTCATGGCTCGGGACAAACATGCTGAACCCGTAGCATAATAGGGACAACAGGACTGATAACTAGAGGCGGAGGGCGCAGGACCAACACAACGAGTAAGACTAGTCCTTAGGTTTCTGTTTAGAAGGGTTTTACGAACCATAGCTGCCTTGATGAGAACTCAGTGTCTGTCCTCGATACCGAAAGATACCAATTAAGGAAGACGTAAGCCAGGAAGACCCGCCTGTCCTTTTCGGGTTTCCTGGTTGAGCTGCGGCTTCGTGCTGTTGTGTTCAAGGTTTTGGGGCTTGGGGGTTTTGGGTTTGATTTGGGAATTTGGGGTTCAATTGGGGTTTGACGGCCTTCGCCGCTTCGGCTTGACGATGCTGCAATCCCAGACCGCCCGGGGCCCGCGTGCATCCTGCAGCCTACATCCACTCCTGACCTAGGCTTTATAGGTTCTGGGGTTGAGCTTCATGAAGTCTTGGGCTTCAGGCCCGAAGCTGTTCTCGAAGTTCGGGAAGTAGGTCTCTCGGTTAAGGGTTTAGGGTTGGGGGTGGTGGGCATCTGCAGAAGGTTTACCTAGACCTTCCATTCTAGGCTGCGTCTTGGGTGGAGAAGGCAACAGGAACAAGAGGGTAGGCTAAGTACAGACCCACCAACTGCGAATAAGCCCAGAAATGAAAGAGGCTTTGCCAGCTTGCAATAAAGGCTGATGCCATCTGCTGCTAGAACGAATCCCATCGCGAGACGAAGATGGCCTCGTAGCTGTGAGAACATGCCCGTGCCTGTGTAAGACCGCCAAACCCTGGAGTTTGTTCATCTTCGCAGCATACCCGTGAGAAATGTGAACTAAGCTCTAGATGCTTCTCTCTTTACAAAGCACCTTGGAACACGGAGAAATCGTGGCACTTGTGTGGCTGTGCAAAGTGCCCAGCCGCCGGATTGGGAGTCTTCTGACAAAAGTCAACTTTACAAATACTCAATCGAAGTTGATCTCGGCAACATGCTTCACCCATTGGTGTACTGTTGTACACCTGGCAAACGAGAATGCTGCACCTGAATGTCGTGGATCTTAATTTGCATGGCTGGGATTGCGGCTCTGTTCAGAAAGAGCCACGGTCGATCAGTGACTTCGTTGAGATCGGTATGGAGCTCGTGTATCGCTCTTTTGACCTGATACAAGGGGCTTCGAGTTTACATTGATTTCTAGTTGTGATGTTTTAGGCAGCCTTCTGCTTCGAGGGCCTGTCTTTGAGTGCAGCCTTACAGATTAGCACAATCTGCCTCAACACCTGTAACATGATTCTTGATGATGGTTTCCAGCGTTGGTACCTCTCTGAAGGCCTTAATGGGTTCGTTGTGGGTGCTGGGCCTTATGCCCCGACCCCACCCCCCCCCCCCCACCCCCAAACAAACAGATCATACGGGTTTCAGGAGGTACTACGTAAACTCATTGACATAATAGCCTTGAGACTCGCGATGCTTCACTTGTCAACTCTCAGTCTCAGTGCCTGGGACCTGAAATACGCTGAGACTACAAAGCCACCGTGCAAACCTGTGAACACATCTGCCTAACCCTACAACACAAGCCCCGCCCCTCACAAAACAAATGTTCAACAAGCTCTTGCCTGAAACCCTGAAAACCCATACGCCCCCACTTTAAAGCGAAACCAAGAATACACATTCAAAACAGCAAACACAGAGTCATCACAAACACTGAGACCAACCACGAATTCTTCAAAAAACAAAGAGCATCCAATCCATCGTGTTGAACATCGACCTCCGAAAGGGTAGAAAAGACTCTGCACCGCAAGGCCTTGGGCCATGGGTCGCGGTGGGTTTAGGCTTTGGAGCTTGGTGTATTCTTCCGACCCCAGCATTAAGTCAGCGACGGAACGGATTCAATCCCAACTATGCCCAGAACTTAATTTCTAAGCCGCCGTCCTTTAACTCCTAAGCATAAACTAGGCAAACCCGGCGCCCGAGAAACCAAACATCTTACAGCCTTACATAAAGCCACAAAACGCCAAAGCTGAGAGCCCCTAAGCAAAACCACAAAGCCCGAACGCCCTAAACCCTGAAGCCTAAACCCAAAACACACAACCACAAAACCTTGCAAAAGACCTCTATAACCCTTGTTCAAAAGAAAGTGTAGCACGCAATAAAGCCCTCCAGATACCCATACAACACCGTGTAACCCGCAACAAAGCCAACAAAAACGACCTTTGTAAATCTCTGCTTCTGGGGCTCCGGGCCACCCGGCCAAAATGGGGGTGGTGGAGGTGGGGTAGGAGAGGGTGGAGGCGGTGGTGGACCTCCAGGGCGTTTTCTAAAACCTACCGACTTGCCGGAGAGATAGAGTATGGGAAACGCGTGTTTCAGCACAGAATCTGCTTCTTGTATGATGGCTGCTCTATACTCTACAGTAGAACTGGCTTTCTACATTGTACGGTTCGGCGGGACTACTAAGTACAGAAGACGCGTGATTCTATACTGTAGGACCCCCCTGTTCTTATACTGAACGACAAAACCGAGATTGTGGTACAGAAATTGCTTGCTTCGGTATAGAACAGGCTTTGTTTATTGTGATTCTATACGGAGATACCTTCTCTACATTGCACGACTCGCCGGCGATGTTAAATATAGAAAACGCTTGCTTCAGCACAGAGCTTGCTTGGCGTGCTGTGTATGATGATTCTATACTAAAGCGTGCTTTTGCTGTACTTCACGACCCGCCGGAGACATTGAGCATAGAAAGCGCATGTGTCAGTATAGAGTCTGCTTCTTGTATGATGTCGCCGGAAGTTGATTTGTATGGTGTATGATGATGATGATGATGATTCTTTGCGGAAGAACTCCTTTCCTTGAGGGCTTAGGGTTCATGGTTGGGGTTTTGGGGTTTGAGAGTTTAGGGCTTAGGGTTGAGGATGTAGGATGTATGAAAGCTGAAACGGAAGTCCAAACTCGTTTCAACCCTACTTGGGGAGGGCGGGGATGCTCGAAGTGATCATGATTGTTGAACCGTGGAACTCATGGTCTTGGTTTAGGTTTAAGCCTTATGTGCAGGATTGTCTCCAGCCCCGGGGTGGCAGCAGTCCCGTGTGCGGGTACTCATTGGATTAGATGTCGGGTGAATATTGCGACCAGGTTTCCGACTAAGGTTTTGGGACCAGGGCAACCATTCATGCTACTCCAGGGTTGCTGTTTCCACTTCGACTTCGACTTCTACCCCTCCACTTCTCCACCCCTCCTCCAGATCCTGCTCCTGCTACTGGCTACGACGACGACCACCACCACCACCACCATTTCAGGTCTAGGATTTTGGGCTTAGGGCACGGAGTACTGGTTGCAGGATTGACTTCAATGCTGGATGCCGATTTCGTGATACGGCAGGCACATCTGAAAGACACATCCGA